ATATGGGTATGACGCTGACTACAAAATGATGATCATACATTTCAAACATTAACCTACATTTTACACAGCAATAGTGAATAAACAAGCAAAGTATATTGTCTTTTTTTAATTCATTGAAGAGAATTTTCATACAGGGCTCACTGGGCCCATAAACTCTTAGTTACCGCCAAGTACTGGAACTATTCATTGGACCCAATAAATAACTTAAAGGAGAGTAAATGAAACCGTTTGGAAGAGTGTTAAAGAAGTCTGTGTGTAAATGAGATCATTAAGATGCAAAACACTGATATTTCCTATGTCTTTACTTTTCCATTCATTTTACTTTCCACTTCACACGCAGGCAACCACTCGCTTCCTGTTCTCAGAAGCGAAAAAAGACCGTTTGCTCGCTCCAAAATGGTGAATCGAACCATTTTACACTCACACCTTGCTCCATCACTCAGATCTGACGGCATATTCTTATTCTTAAATGAATAATTGAACAGTGTCTGTGTGCATCCTCCTGTACAAATGCACCGTCCCCTGTCTAATAGAAGCAAAGAGCAAGCTAAAGCAGCTGGGAATACGTTCCTTCCTGTGGTGCAGCTGTGGCAGGAGGAGACTGACGAGCTGCCACTGAGATGGTGGGGAGACGGTGAGAAGACGCGGGGGGCGGGGGTGGGGGGCAGAAAGTGGATTGTCGACTTCAGTCGGCATCACATCAAAATCCTTATTTCACCTTGAGCCCAGTGGAGCCCGAGACAACTCAGCTCAGCTGCAGCGGTGGAGAGAGAGCAGTACTCAGATGCAGTGGGCTCCACAGTGTGAGGGGCTTGTCTGTCATGAATAGTGACTGAGATGACAATGTGTGGAGACAATGGTGGGACAGCTCAAAGAAGAGACATAAAAAAAAAGACTCCCTCCGTGCCTGCTAAGAGTTGAATATATAAATTTTCACTTGTGCAAGCATAGATTCCTGCTTGTATGCTCAAGAATAATGCCACAGTTCAATGTTTGATGTTTTTATGTATATGAAATGCGTTTTCAATATTTCAATTAGTTATTAAATGACAGATAATATAGTTTGATTATCAATTTTTTTCATTGCTGTAATAAATTGAAATCTGTAAAATGTTACACAGGACTAGCATATCGTCATCTGTCCAAAGAAAAACATGCATCTCCAAAACAGTAATTTTAAGAGAAGGTGAAAATGTTCTTAACTTTTAATATAAGTTAATGAAAAGGAAAAAAAAGCAAATTTGAAGTATTTCTGTTGGTCCATTCACCATGAATATACACACAATGTATAAAAAAGGGCAGTTGCTGTGCTCAAATGATGTAGAAAAAAAAACAGAAAAAAGAAGATGCATGTCTTTTGTGAGGGGGGTTAGTGACATTGTTAGAATCATTTTACATACATACATTTTCTAAGATGCTTATTCTTCTGGGTCGTGAGGGATGCTGGAGCCTATCCCAGTGGTCATTGGACAGAAGGCAGGAAACACCCTGAACAGGTCGCCAGTCCATCACAGGGCAGACACACAGACATATACATCCACACTCACATTAGGAGCAATTTAGCATGTCCAATTGGCCTGACTGCTTGTTTTTGGACTGTGGGAGAAAACCAGAGAACCCGGAGGAAACCCACATAGACACGGGGAGAACATGTAAACTCCGCTCATAAAGGACCCTGTTTGCCTGGTTGGGGAATCAAACCCAGACCTTTCTTGCTGTGAGGCTATAGCGCTACCCACTGCCCCTTATTTTATACCGTACTGTACAAAAGTCAGAAACCACCCTTCATTCAAGTACAAGAAATTAAATTTTCAGAAGGTATTTCTTTAGATTACAGATTACATTTAAGATAATCCACTGCAATAAGGAAGGGAAAGGTCAAATTAAAATAAGTCAAGTGGGTTTCCAAAACTGGAGTTCAAAAAAGTATTAAAATATATGGAGAAAATGGAACTCCTAACAACTGTACAACACCGGGTAGACCACTAAACTCTCACCATCAGATAAACAGCACTTAAAACTTTCACCTTTGAGAGAGAGGAGACAATCAATCTGAAAAAATCCACAGGTGTTTCTGTCCATCCTTCCACTGTGAGAAGACAACTCAACACTATGAGTCTGAAAGGATGTGTAGCTTTCAGGAAGCTGTTACTGAGAAAAGAAAATAGACAAACAATAAGAAAATTTGCAAATGAGTCAATGATGCTGCTGGTGTTCTCAGAATAGTGGACTGACCACCCCAGAGTCCGGACTTCAACATCACAGAATTTGTTTGGAATTATTTGGATTATGAGAAACAGAAAATACAACCAACCTTTAAACGGAACTTTGGAGGTGTGGAAAATTATCCATGCAGATTTCTTTGAAAAACTAAAAACAAGTCTCCTGAAAAGAACAGAAGCTGTAATAAAGGCAGAGTGGACGTCAGTAAATACTGAAACATTTTATTTATGTATTTATTTAGCTGTTAAGGCTTCTGTGTAATTTTCTGTTACACATATGTTTTCTGCTTTTTTCCCTGATGCTAGAAAATGAATAGCTTGTACTTAATCTCTGTTTTGACTGGAAATTGAACTGCAAATGAAGTGTGGCCTCTGACTTTTGCACAGTACCAAACTGGTTTAACATTCATACAACATGAATTTAAGCTTTATACTCAGTGTGAACTTTTGAACGATACTATATAGTATATGAAGCATTCTTTCTCTCTTAGACATGCATACACACTTTTAAGAAGGAGCAGGCGGTCTCCCAGTGCTCCATGTGGTTAATATTCTCTCTAATCACCGGTGTGCCAGTCTGGCATTGCGGTGGCTCACTTCAGTCCCCAGCGTCAGCTCACTGCACAGCTTCATTAGCACCAAAATCCACCCAGAGCCTGCCAACAGGACACATCAGCTACCTGGCACCACGCCTCACGCTCAGCCTGGCTTCTTCAGAGTTTCCGTGTCTGTGATTGAGTGAAGAGTGTGTTTCAGGCTGGGCGTGTGTGTCCAGGGCAGAGTGAGATTAAAAATAGAAAAACCTTGCCTTCTGCAGAATAAGCAATTCAAGACTTTTTGGCTTTGATGATGCATTTGCTCGCAGGAGCCAGCTGCCAGCTGAGACCAGCTGAGACGGGATATCTGCGTGTATGTGTATGTGTGTGCGCCTGTATATACTACTCAGATCAAACCAGGCAGAGGTAACGAACTCTCGTGACAGAGTCTGCATTTGAATGAATGGGTAACACTTTCTTTGACTGCCCATTAAGTTCTAGGTATTAACCAGGTAAGCATGTGGTACAACCTGGAAAGTTCTAAGTAATTATTTTGATTCCAAGACAGTTTAACTAAATTACACGTAAATGGTCAATAGATTCTAGGTATTAACTGGGTATGTGTGTAGTACACTCTTCACAGTACTGCGCAATTGTCTTGGGTTAAAGTACCAGGTAGTTATTGTAGTAAAAAGACTACACAAAAAAAAAAATACACAGTATTTACACAGTATGAGCCTATTTATTATCTATAAACAAAATTGAATTCTGGGCTGTAAAAGAAAGCATTCTTATTGTGCACTCTTAAAAAAGATGGTTCTTCAAGGGTTCTTTAGTAAAGAAAATGGTTACATATAGAACCATGAACACTCAAAGAACCCTTTGCATGATTATAGGGTTCTTTGTATCGTGAAATGGTTCTTTAGAATGATAGAAAATGTGTTTTATATGGTTCTATATAGAACCTTTTTGAAAAATGTTCTATATAGCACCCAAAAGGGCTATTCTAGTGTTACAAGCTTGAAACCATAACAATAGAAGAACCCTTTTGGGTGCTATATAGAACATTTTTTAAAAAGTGCGAAATCATGCACAGGGTTCTTTGAGTGTTCATGGTTCTATATAGAACCAGTTTCTTTACCAAAGAACCATTGAAGAACCATCTTTTTTTAAGTTTACTGTAGATTATGAAATCCTCAAGTTCTTTGAATCATTATTCTTAAATTATTGCATTCTTTGCCAGCGCAGTCTAAAAGTCTCAGACTTTTAGACCCCACTGTATCGTCTAATCATTTTGTGCCATCAAGTTATACCATATTGGTACTTGAAGGTACTTCTAATTTACTTTCCCATTCAAATGTGTATAGTGAAATTTCAGAGATGTTCATACTCACCTTGTACCTCCAAATTGGTATTTGAGGTATTTTACTTTAATTATGAGGTGTTTATGTCCTTTACCAGTGTAACAGCTAGATTTCAATATAATTTGGTTAGACTGTCTTGGTACTCACCATATTACTCAAAATAAATGCTTACGTAAATGTTAAAATACCTCCCGTTACATGACGTTTTGTTGATTTCTAAGTGAAAATAACACATCCTCTACAGAAAACACACTTAAGTATGACAGTATTCTGCAAATGTTACAGCATAATTTAAATTTATTTAATAAGTTTAACATATTCTCAAAGAATACAATACAAAACATAAAATGTGTCACCTTTTATAAGGGCCATATTTTATGTATTTTCTTTCCAACATGTTAAATAATTAAATTGTAAATGACAGAAATGAAATAAACAGAAAATACATCAGAGTAATTGTGCATTAAAATGCACAGTAGAGGATATGAACTTATTTTCACTAAGACAATCAACATAATGTACTTCGCCCAAACTTTGACTGTTTATATATTTTTGTTGCGTTTTATTCTTCTTTTGTCAAGCGCCTTGAGGTGACGCTGTCATGAAAGTGTGATATATAATACAACTTATTACTAATGTTATTATTACAGGCCACAATACGACCAGTATACAGAGCACAGTGTACTTATTCTTGTGAACGAGGAGTATAATCATGGCTAGAAGAAACATTTTTCATCAAGAACATCTGCGTTTGTCACCACCCTTTGGTCAGTTGTGAGAGTCCATGACAGAATCAGTTGAAGATTAAACAGCACTAAAATTTCTGAAGGATCCAATCAGCAAAAAGCATAAGCTTTGTCCCTCAATTAACTGTGTGCCTGTTACAAACAGAATCCATGCTCTTTCCCTAAGCAGGAGAACAACGACAGTACAAATCAGGTGCTGACAGCTTGAGAAAATATAGATTTGTATTTCATCAAACATGTATACAGTTTCAAGATTATATATACACACAAACACACACACACACACACACATCATAGGCTGGTTCCACACATTCAACCTGTTTCCACTAACAGAGAAAGCACAGTCCACTTTATAGTTTATAAGGCACATGCAGTAGCAAAGCACTGTGTAGTAGCAATCCAGGCTTTCCATTTAAATGAATGTATAATAAGTTAAATAGCAACATTCACACATTTGATAACCCGTGATTTGAGATGTAACAGTGTGTTATTGTACATTGCAATTTAAAGGGGAATTCCATTGATTTTTCAAAATGTGTCAATAATGTAATCATTAAGATGTAAACAAAGCCATTCAGAGTGGTTTGAAGTAAAATGCTGCATTTTAGTTAGAACTACTTGGTTCTAACCAAGTCAGAACTATTCACACTGGTGGTGACAGGAGCCAGACATCTGAAGTGTTTAATGCCTCTAAAAGCTCCCTCAAAAAAGTTATTACACAAAATAGTTTTTGTCCTCTTGTGGAGAACTTCACACGGCATTGTAAGGAAAAATAGTAACATAGTAAACTTTTTTTCAGATTTATCACACTTTTACCATACTCGACATATAAAATGAAGAAGATCACTGTGTTACTTCAGATAGTAAAATGGCTACAGTTTTCATTCTACACATCTCAACACTGGTTCTAATCACCACCACTGTAAATAAATCGGTTTCTCTACAACAAATATTTCATATCAAATCACTCTGAATGATTTTGTTAACATCTTAATGGTTGAATTATGCAGAAAGTTTTAAGAAAAGATGGATTTCCCCTAGCAAAAGAACAAAAGAAAATGGCTGAATTTTTTTAACAATTTTTTTTTCCAAAATCAATTAATCAATTAATTTTCTCTTTTTTTGGATTACTCCGAATATTGAACCCATTAACCCTGAACAATAAGTCTAACTGCAGTAGATGTAACATGTAAACACATGCCAGAAAGTGCGATCACTTCAGTGACACCAACTCCTGGAATCCAGCTTGAAATACTTAAAGTATATGCCTGGATTGGAATAAGTACATATACTTGGAGTAGGAGTGGCAAATATGACGATATTTTATCATTACAGCCAATGACACACATGCAAATAAAAGGCATTTTAGAGTGAGCACAACTCATATCCCTTTTGATGGAAAAGTAGCCACCATTGCTAGTGAATTTTAGTCTGATGCTACTTAATTGGTATTCAGTAGACTATAACTCAACTAGTGAAAAACATACATAGGTGGAGGCAAACAAACAGAATAAAATGAAAGAATGGAACACAGAAATCAATACAATTTTTTAACATTGGCACAATATTTCATGTTCCCACTGTTCTGACTAAGGTCAACAGCTACATATCAAGCGCTTTTGGTCCAAATCAGCCCTAGTGGATCTTGAAGTTCATGAAACGTGCCAGACACTTGTACAAAAAAATGAAGACTTGTGTTTTGAAGACTTCAAAACTCAGGATCCTCTGATAATGGAGAAGAACATGATTAATACTTAAGCCACACTTTCACCATGACAGCCATCATTTTCTCTTGGTTGACGGTCCCGATTCCAACCTTGTGTAAGAGGTGAAGGGCTTGACTGAAGGGACTCTTTGGAAATGGAAGCAGGACTTGAGATATTCTCTTGCAAAATATGTGCAGGGTTAATCGCTACGTTTGACAGCTTTCTGAAGCCATGACAGCTGCAGTCGTCATGCAGACTTTGCTCAATGCCATTGGACGTGTTGTGCGTTGAATTGAGACTTGGAGAAAAATCTGAGATATCAGACAGTGGAGAAGCCAATGACATTGCAGCATCTTCACCTTCCTCTACAGTGAAGCTGCTGTCCCCCTCTACAACCTCCCCCTCCTCTACCACAGGCTCCGCGATAGGGCCCAGCTTTGCAATAGGCCCCAACTCCGCTACAGGCCCCTCTTCTACTTTAGCATTTGGCTGCTCTTCTGTCTGTCTCAGGATTTCAGGCCCACCAGAGACCATCTCTTCCCCACGCTCAGATGTGACAGGTGTCTCCACCTTGTCTCCACCTCCATCTGGACTGGGGCGGGAGCCCGGCCACATGTTCAGGAAGCTGTCATCGGCAGCTGTGTCCTGTTCCCATGATGACAGCCCTCCACTTCCTGTCCTGTCATCTGAACCAGTCAGGGGGACAAAGAAGATTAATGGTCATTGTGTTAGCGCCATGCTAATGGAGAGGTGCCCTGTCCACTAATGTGTGCAATGTGGCAGCGATGGAAGGCCTTCAAAAATTCGTATTCAGGGACCACTTGAAAGGACAGCACAAGTGACACAACCCTTGGCACAGCGGTCTGCAGAAGAGGCAGCTCAAATAAAACCCTGAGTTTTATACATATAAACTGGAATTGAGTTTCATTGCAACTTCAATTAAGGTATTAGTCTTAAGACTTATTGCTCAGTAATTACAATTATTTAATCAGTAACTAGTGCCAAACTAATATGCAAGTTATTCAGCCCTGAGGGCCAGAAACTAAAATAGGGCCCTTATAAGGACCCTTAAAGTGGAATTCCAGCAATTGTTTACATTTTTTAAAACAAAGTCATTCAGAGTGGTTTGATGTGAAATGGTTAACTGCAGAGAAGCAATTTCTTTACAGTTGTGGTGATAGGAACCAGGGGTTGCAATTTCTACAACACAAATGTAGCCATTTTAATTACTATCCAAATTAAATAGTGAACCTACATGCACCTTCTGAGTTTTAGAGATAAAGACAAAATAGTGGCAAATCTGAAAAAATAAGTATTCGTCTGGGACTATTTTTCCTTTAAACACCCTCTGCCATGACCGGGAAAAAAAGATATTTAAGGCCAAAACCTTCAGGCAGCGTGTTTGTAAACACTTCATGTAATATCCTTCCGTGATATAGCCTTTAGGAGCATTAAACTCATCACACGTCAACTTCCCATCAACACCACTGTGAACAATGTTGACTCGGCAAGATTCTCTAGAACAGAGCATTTCACATCAGATCACTCTAAATGACTTTGTTTGCATCTTAATGATTGAATTATGCAGAACTGTTTAAAAATCAGTGGAATTCTTTAAGGCCACCACACTGGATGTGCTGTGCTGCATTGTGCAGCAACCAAAAATTCAAATTTATTTTTTATGAAGATGTACACACTGCCATGCTGGCACTCGCTGACTCCCTGCACTGCTCAGTTTCTCTAAACACCACAGCATGCCACTTCACATTTTCTTATTACTGCAGTAAATTAAACCTAGAACGAGACCACAGAAATCGACGGTGGCTCGAGGTTTACACCAAAAAAGTCCAGATAGGCAGCCAATATAAAATCTTTGAGATGAACAGGCAAATGCTACTGGTCTTTAACCACAATCAACATTACTAGCCTAGTCCTTTTTCGCCTCATATCTTTTGCTCAAAAACGAGTTTTTGAAAAGCTAGTTAGCTGATATTAAATGTGATAAATTCATAAAATAATAAAGTTTTATGTCATTAAATCTATACAAGTGTACTCAAGCTTGATGTTTCAGTGCTCTCAGTGTGATTCATTCTATGTAGTACAGCTGCATTTTCTACTATACATCCACACACAATATATATATATATATATATATATATATATATATATATATATATATATATATATATATATACACACACACACATATACATACACACACACACACACACACACACACACAGGAGCTTTAATAACAAGCGTGATTCATCATCCTACAGAATAGGTTTCCACTGCTTGAAAGTTTAGTGGCCACATTTGATCACACTCACAGTTGATCGTGGAATATCTATGGGGGAAGAAATTTCGCAAACTGACTTGTTGCAATGGTGGCATCCTATTACAGTACCACGCTTGAATTCAGTGAGTTCTTTAGAATGACCCATTCTTTCACAAGTGTTTGCAAAGGCAGACTGCATGCTTAGGTGCTTGATTTTATACACCTGTGGCAACAGGACTGAATGAAACACGTGAATTCAATGAGGTGTGTCCCAAAACTTTTGTCCATACAGTGTATATTTTATAGTGTATACTTTAGGGTTAAGGAGTTTAAAAACGTCTTTGTTTTTCAAATGCATAATTAGCCTACACAAATAACTTGGCTTGCAATGGCGGAAAAAAATATTATCTGAATCATTCACTGCCTGTGCTTCCATGACAGCGTATTAAAAATAGCACTCTAATGTAAAGTCACCCAGGCGGAGAAGAGTGCATGCTGAGGGGGAACCGATTCTGCCTCCATGCCCAAATCCCCAACACCCATTCTGCTGGATTACTGACCCATATTTGGGAGCACGCAAGCAAAAGGTTAAACGCTGCAGCCTTCTTGAGGAAGTGGAGGAAAGAGAAACATAGCTCACAGTATGGTCTGGCATCCATATTTATGGGGCCGTCTCTGTTTAAAAAAAAAAGGCCCCAAAAGTTGGTGAATGTCAGCGGGCAAGAATTCGCTAGCATTTGCAAAATGCCACGGCATTTGAGGAGGATTGGCAGTTTAGCCACCACGACGATGAGAGCGTGCAGGAAAGCAGAGGTGGGCTAGTGGGGAGGCGTGCAGGGTGGGCTACAGCCAGCGATCAAGCTAATTATGGCACTTTAGTGCTGAGCTGAGGGCATGATTAGGGAACGGTGGTTTCGGTTACACACAATTACGCACACTAACCTGTGGGGGGCCACGCATTGGTGGATTCAGTGGGCACAGGTTGCAGGGGAAGGCCGAGCAAGGCGGGCGGGGTGGCGCGCTGACTTTCGCTCAGAGTAATGGCATCCTTACCTCCTGCAGGACACCATGACCAACAGGGAAGAGAGAGTTATCTCACCGTTTCATTAAGACCGCTAACACACTGGCACCATGAAATGGCTTTTAATGACTGAGGGAGACTGGGAAGGGTCACAGTGACAGCAAGATGGGATGGAGAATGTGGAGGATGTGTCTAATACACACAACACACTCAGCATGTGTGTAAGATTCAACACATGGACAGGGAATGTAAAGATACACTGCTGTTTAAAAGTTTGGAAACAATGTTTTCAATTACATGAAACTAATTTGGTTTGCGGATAAATGTATAAAATAATTCTAAAGGCTGATTTGTACCTCTACCAAGACACACGTGAACATATCAGCATCAAGACACAGAGAAGGTGCTTATGGGTAAACGTAGCTCACCTATGTTTGCAAAGGGGTGGTTCCTGGTTCAAATCTGACCTTCAGCATTTTGTCTTTTTGGGTGTCTACTCACAGTAACCATAACACAATATACACTCATATTACTATTATCTATCACATAACTTGTTAAGTGTGAATAGTCACAGCTGTTACTAGAGAAATTTTATAACAATCCCTACTGAGCAGCTCATAGCTGTTGAATTAAGGACTTTTCCGTCTATGACCAAAATAAAATTACTTTTGATAATCAATGCATATTATATACATAACATACATACACACATAACATAATAAAAGCGCATTTCAGTAGACGTTGATGTAGTATGATGTCATCTTTAATTTGGCTATTAAATCATTATTAACACAATAATAAAGAATGGAACTGCGAATATCACACAAACTTTATGAATTGAGGCTACATAGCTCAAGTTAGCCTGAAACTGTTTTGACTGATGTTTGAAACCTGACGCAGTTATGTGACAAAGTCTTTAAAGGTACATATAATATACCGGCAGCTTGCTGCAGGCATGATATCTGCCTGTGTACCATCAAGCATGTTCAACCAGCGCAGCTCAACAGTTCTTATCTATGTTGGGTACAATAAATAGGTTATTAATGTACTCATGTAACATATCAATTCAACCAATAAGTTTGAAACTTCAGTTACGATCAGGGGTGGGAATATAACTGAGTTTTTGAACCAGCAGCAAAGATTTTTTACTTTTAACTGTCAATGGGTGCCATTACCATGGTAACTCTTAACTGTTACCTGGCACAGGGCTACAGTCATATGAAAAGATTTGAACACCTCTGGTAAACTACATGTGTTGATTTTCTAAATAAAAATAAGTTAACATACAATCTATAGTGAACTCACTTAAATATGACATTTTTCTGCAAAGTTTAGTGCACAGTTTCAATTTTAGTTATAATAAAACATAAATTAAACATAAAATCTAAATTGTGCCATATTTTCTGCACAGGCCACATTAATGTTTTACTTGTTTTCCCAAGCTGAGAAATCAATCAAATAAATAGGAATGCTGATGACTTTGACCAGGGGCCCCAAACTTTTGCATATGGTTATATATCATTTAAAAACTTAACAAAAAACTCAAAATAGTGAATAACACATAATATACCTTTTGGTATTTATAATTCTTTACAATACAATCTACATTCTACAACTTGTTATATTATTATACGTTATTATATAAAAAACAACAAAAATGTGGAAAAAAGAAACTGAAAAATCTAACAGGTGATGTTTCCAACAGTTTGTAGCCTAGTGTACGCATAGGCACATACATAGTCAACACACACATACACAAAATTTATATATCAAAAAATCAGAATTTCAATAGTTTCTGAAGTTGCAAGAAAAATAGATGCAAAATCTACGGAAAACTTCCCAAATCCTAAAAGTCACACAGCATTAAGAGGCACACTCATGATCTGGAATAAAACATGCTATTCACACACAAACACGCGCTCGGAGAAAGTGGCTGCAGTTCTCCTCTCATCTGTCTTCATTAGTGCTAGCTGTATGCATCGCAGGCTAAAGCCATATGCTACTCACAGGGGAATGTGCACTATATGCTTGTGCCATCACAAACAGCAGCCGCCACCACTTACAAGTTAACACTGTCTGATCTGTCTGGAATAATCTGTTCCTGGAAGCACCAGAGTGCGAAACAAACAAAAACAACAAAAATCCGAGAAATATATTAGACAAAAAAGGACTGACAGTGTCACATAGTCGCAGCAATGCTGTGCCAAATTACAACTAAACTGTAAAAGGACAGCCAGTGTCACACACAGATGCAAAAACACATTACTGAGTAATGGTCACCGTTTAGACAGCAGGCTGGTGAATCTCATATTCTTAAGAGTTGCAAAGAGGAGAAGTTCTAGCAAGACTGTCCATTTCGGTCATTCTTAATCAACAGTTCAGCCAAAAATCACATTTATATAATCTCCCCTTATCCCATGATATGATCAGCCAAGACATGTTTGGTGTCTGAGATTTACTTCTTTTGGAGCGACAGAGCTACAAGGCTAAAATAGAAGATATAGTCAGCTCCAAAATTAATGGAAGTCTTGGTAAAGAGGTGAAAAAAAGTTATTAAAATGTTAATTAGGTTAAAATTGGGTTAAAAAGTAATTACAAATATTCTTGCTTTTGTGGGTGTCTGACACCGGTTTCTATAATAGTGGACAAAACTCAGGGTTTACAATGGCTACGTATGTTTTAAGCTATATAATATATGTTTTCATTGAATTTCCATTGTGTGTTCATACAATGCATAATGCAAAAACCAATAAAGAGCTAAGCTGGTGGCTGTAAGCATAAATTACTGTTTGAACACTTCAAAATACATGTTTTGTTGATTTTGTAAGTGAAAATAGGTTAACACACATACTTCTGAACTTAACAGCTTGGTAAAAAATAATTAAACATAAAATGTGGCCTGAGCAAAAGTTATGGCACATTCTTTGTGTGTGTTTTTTACCAATATGTTAAGCTCAGCAAATAAATTTGAATGTTACACTATTTTTTTTTACTTAGAAAATCAACAAAACATGCAATTTGACCAGGCTTTCAAACTTTTGCACATAATTGTGTAATAGCCTCATAGCTCCAGTGAAAAAAGTACAGAACATGTCTTGGCTGATCGACTACATTTGGGGTAAGGTGAGAAAACTGAGCAAATCTGAGTTTTGGCTAAACCACCAATTTTACTGACAGCCACTCACACTGTACATGTGGGTATAATTTTAACAGTGTTGAATGAGTGACACTTTAAAAGCACTATGTTCAGCTCTCTTGGTTTGAAAAGGTCATTGACGTGATGCAGAGCCTCGCCTCAGAACCAATTAAAAACTTGGGCTAATTCAGTATGCAGAGCAGGGTGGAGGCTTGGCACAGCCTGCTGTGCAAAGCAGAATGGATGGATGAGTGGCTATACCCACCTGGCAGCTGCCCATCCATCCGTTCTCTCGCACTGTCTCTCTGCGTCTGTCACTCTCTCTCTCATACGCAGACACAAAAAGCAGAATGGACAGAGTATTCTCTCTCACATCCCAGGAATTCAAGTCACAACAGACCGCTATTTGCCACAATTAAAAGCAAGAAGTAAGCACAATCCTTTTCCTCACACTGCAGAACACTATCTGCATGGTTCCATGCAAATGTACACGTGCCTGTCTTTTGTATCCACAGAAAGCAAAAGGCGCAGGGTGAGGAGTAGACACCTGTCTGAGCACACATGCATTCTGACACAACTCCAAGTCTGTCAGACAGTCAGCACGAACACAACCACCTAACACACACTGTCACCCAAAGAGACAGCAAGAAATGAGTGGAAAAACAAACGATACAGCAAGTGATGTTTTACATTTGGACATCTCTCTCTGCTGTTATGGGTCATTGTATTATTACGGTGGCAAATGAGGTATAATTGTTAACACTTAACACTTACTAAATCATAGTCTGTTATACTGAATAAAATCACTGATAAACTGTCAAAGTTTAGTTCACTACCAGATTCAAAGTCACAATATGTGGAGTATTACATATATTGCTTTCTTGTTGTTATTTTATTTCAACTTGTTTCAATCATTTCCTGTTTCATGAGTAACACCACCGACGATACTTTTGCAACACTTTTTGGAATGAAGCTGTCAGTATTTTAGCAAAATAGATCAGACAAATAAAAGGAGATTTCATTACTCATGCAGAAGAAGAAATTTAAAAGGATCTTTGTTTTTTATTTTTTAAAATGACATTTTATGTTTTTGTAACACCACTAACAGAAAATATTAGAACAAGATTAACTTTCAATATATCAGTATATTTATATATTTGAAACTACTTTACCATAGCATAGACTATATTATATATTACTATTACTAATATAATTTGCATTTCTACAAATTAAACTGAAAAACAAGCACTAAAATTGTTGTTACACAAAAAAATTAATACTCTAGCACCTATGATGTCAGTGCTGTTCCTGCACTACATAACTAAAAATCACTAAAATGAAACTTCATAGTGTAGACTTTCTTGCTAGTTAATACCGGAATACAACAGTAAACACACAGACATCAACTTTCTGCGGTTTACTCTGCTCTAATTTTTATGCTTTCAAAGTTATGGGACACCATTTGTCACTGCAATGGTAAGATGACCCATACATGGCTGCTCTTTTTGCACTATGTGCAGGTTTATGTTCACTATAAGCAAGACAACACCAGCTTAATTCATTCTCAGTCAGATGTAAGCAGTTTAAATCACTGGTACACTCCGTGAAATTTGTAAAAATATGCTATGGGTATTGTGCCTGTGGTCACTCTCTTCCTCTGTTCCCTCCCTGGCATTAATGGCTAGTAGCTGTCGGCCTTCACAAGGCCACTCGCCCCCTGCATTTACTTTCATAGAGTGAGTCGTGAGCCCCTCTCTGTCTCGTCTACAAATTCCACTAATAACACCACATTCCCCAAATGTGTTTGTAATGTGGGCAATCATTTTCTGTAATGGATGCTTGTCAGCTTTATGGTGGTAGAATGACAGTCTTACGACAGGCAAGCTTCACTGGGGCTCAGTGCAGCAGAGTTATTTAGCGTGAAAGTGCCACACTGCCCTCTTGTGGACAGAGTGTAGGACTAGTTCTTGTTGTACTGTGGGATTATAAGTAATATAGAAAAACTTCTGTAAATGAATTTTGTGGCTTTATGCATAGAATCAGTTATAGACAAAGGTGAAAGTTCACTCTGGCATATTCTGTAACAGAATGTGTTATAACTGCAATTCCGCAAAATGTCTGCATAATTTCACTGTTAAGTTCAATCGAAATGCACCATTACAGAGTCGTAATTGTTCACAGCGGTGGGGACAGGAACCAGACATCTGAAGAGTTTAATGTCTCTAAACTTAATCTCACTGAAAGTCATTACACTAAATAGTTACAAATATGTTGCCCGGTGCCTGACACATTGTTTTATGAGAGTTTTAAGCTAAAATTTAGGAGTAAAATCTATTTTCTAAAAATTAATTCATGGTGAAAGGATCCATGCAGGGTGTCATAAATAAAAATAACACCCAAAGAATATGGATTTTTTTTCAGATTTATCCCTATTTGACCATCATCAACATGCACCATATTAAACCACTCAAAATGATTGTTTCAGTCCCTGTTTTGACAAACCTGTTAATCATAACAAACCACAGATTCCTCATACACAGAGTGGCTAGTTTATTAGGTACCTACCTTGGCCCTACACTCACTGGTCTCACTGACTCTAGCCCATCTGTTGCTGCACAATTTAGCAGCCCCCCTATATCCTATCGATCAGTGGAAAGCGACCACCACAGGACCGCAACTGACCGGATATTATCTGGGTGGTGGACCATTCTCAACACAGCAGTGGTACAAGCTAGTGGTCAGTAATTGTACTCCTATAAAGTGCACCTACAGTTTGGGCACTACTGGTCAAATTATATGTTTTGTTGATGTTCTAAGTGAAAATAAGTTAACACTTCCACTACACAGCTCAAGTCCTTCTGCACATTTTAATGCACACTTAATATTTAGTTGCTAAATTTAACATATTGGGAAAAACAAAACATAAAATGTGGCCTAACTAGAAATTATGCACTAAAAATCCCATGTTTATGTTTCTTCCCTGTAGAGGACATATTATTTTCAATTAGAAAATCAACAAAATGTCATAAACTGGACAATGCCTAATAAACTAGGAATTCAACTATAATAGATTTTCAATCATCTATGACTGACAGTTTGACCATAATGCGTCATGAATGGCCACCAGGTTATATTTTAAGATGAAGAGATTTTTGTACATTACCTAAAGTTAAAGCTAAACCTACATGAAGTGACCATGATTCTGTACATTTAGTTTCTGCATAAAGTGCATTTCTTAAATAACTGTCCATGCTGTTAAGCTAATATGACTGTCAGATTACATTTATCTTGTCAAAATATTAGTCAACTGAATCGTCAGAGACATAAAGACTGGTTTCATGGTATACTGAAGGCTAAAACCTTATATTTTTTTCTGTCTTGTTCTGCTGAAGAATAGCACATACTTTCACAACTGAAACACAACTCTGTCAGTCGTCTCATATTTTTGGGAGAAGTTGGAGCGCCTGCTGACGTTGACAAATGCAGCATGAATGCATCCATAGAACATCTATTCTTAACACACCGCTGAACGTGTCTCTCTGTGTGCTTTACGACCATCAATGAATCAAAAATAAAGCCCATTTCTTCAGCTGCTTTGCCTGGCTGCCCAGCTAAGACATTGGGCACCCAAAAACAATGAGCTACTCTTAAATCGGCTACACAACTGTGTCATTACATGTAAAGACAAAGCCAGCTGTGACGAGTCTTACTGCTCCATCACGGTGTTTGTATCGCTGGTAACGTGACAAGTAAGGTAAGAGCTCTTTCTATCTGAAGGTGGATTTTCAGCTACGTGGCAGAATCTCTTTGGCAGACTGTATTTTGGTTTAATATTTACACTCACCAACAAGCAATGCAAAATACAGGAAAGCTAACTGCCTTAAATAGTAGTATTTTATTCATCTGATTGTATCCACCAGGTATTCACTTGCTGGCTCATTCAAAACTCACTAATGAAACTTTTTAAATCAAATTTCACTGACGCTAAATACAGATCAGTGGATGTTCACATCCAGAACTTGCTCAAATAGTCAAGGTTCACCACTGCTTCCTAATGAACTGTCATGGCCTTATCAAAATTCATTCATTCCTTCATTCATGCATTCCTTCATACATTCATTCCTTTATTCCTTCCCATCATTTTTAAAAATTGTCAGCTGCCTTCTACATTCTGTGAAAATTTCATGACGAAAACACAAATAGAACTGGTCCATTTTATACCAAATTAATTTGAATAAAGTCTTGTTACATTAACATACATTCAAGTATCAATGTTTTTTCTGTCTCCTGAAAATGTACCATTTTACCAAGGTTTCATTGCAACAGTGATGAAAATATAAAGCTTATTCTGGAAAATACAAATGTTTAAAAAAAAAAACTATGTATCCAGATCAGTATACTCTATAACACTTTGTATGTGAGGTAATAGTTTGGAAAATAGTCAAATGTACACAGTTTTCCCCAGATGTAGCCATATGTATTCACCCAAGACGTTTGGTGCCCAAATTTTGCTTCTTTATTTTAACACTGGAGCAACCAGTCTAATGTTGCTAACAAACACTAGAAGTCAATAGTCACCCAAACCAGCTTGACCATAATGAAGACCTGGAAGCAGTTTAAGAGTTTTAAGGATGTATTTATGAAAAAAGATTTTGGGTGACTACTTAACTTCTAATGTTTGTTAGCAACATAAGCCTTGTAGCTCCAGTGCAAAGCTGAAGAAATAAAATTTGCACACCAATCATGTCTTGGCCCATTAACTACATCTGGGCTAAGTAGAAAAAAGTGGAAAATTTTTGCTATTCCTTTAATTTATAATCTAATTCTTAAACCACAGATGAGTTCAATCAGGCGAGTCAGAGCAGGTCAAACTCTAAACTCAAACTGTCGTGGCCTGGGATTTCTGTCCCATGTTACAATGCACATATGAGTCATGGACACACACACACACATAACACAAGTATGGAGTGTTTATGGGATGAGGTTATGACTGAGAAATGTGGGGCAGTTTTGTGGGCAGCCACTCAAACTCCTGCTGACATTACAGAACGGAGGACATGAAGAAACAGACAGAGGGACATACTCCCTAATCCCAGCGATAGGTTGTAGGTCAGGCCTTCACAAGGCAGCAAGGGAAAGGAGAGAAAACACATTATATATGTCTATATGCTACATCAAGACTATGACATGCAGGCAGTGATGCAACAGGGCTTAATGTAGATGAAAGCATAAAGATAGACATAGATAAAGGTTTTGGAAGTGATTTATAGAAAGTGACCATTTTAATGATGGCAATGAAGATGAAGCCATAGATACCAATGGACACTGCATCATGGCCTAAAGGTCTGTACAGGCATGAAATCGAAGCCCAAATGATCAGTAACCACGAAACTGAGACCCGACCAGGCCCAACCTGCATGCACTAACAAAGATAGATTATCGCAGACACTGTTTTACAGTTGTTGTTTTTTTTGTTACTATGCACTTCAGCTGAAACACTTCTCTGAAAGCTGAACATTTGCTGCAGCTACCCTGACTTAACTGGCGCAAGGGAGTACTCTGACACTGACAATTTCTTCTGAACATTAGCTGCTGTAGAATCACTGCACCTATGGTTAATGTGTCACTGAAGAGACAATGTGGCCATCCTCCTGCTGTCATTGCTATAAATACATAAACCATAAGTTCTACACTGTTCATGACCAGTGTGCTTTTTATTTGACAACTTAGTCATAATGCTTCTACACTGAAAACAACATACTTGAAATTTTAAACTGTTCCTCTTTAGCAAGTATTTTTTTTATGTCATCCATACTGAACAGTTAATAAGACAGGCTTTTCTGAACACATACTAGACCAGTGGGCTACAGGCCTCCATTGGTACTGCATTCATTTTTTTTTATTTATGATTTTTATGCACAAAACTTCATTACAATGTATAGACATCTAATCAAACCAATGATCTTAAATATGATAAATATTAATGTTGTGATAATCATTTGCAAAAGCAATAATACTCAAATATTTAGGTCAAGCTCAGTAACTAGGCTGGCAAAATTGATAACCGACATAGCTAGCTAGATATGTTATTTTCAGTAAGTCATCTATCATGGAAAAATGGCTACAAACAGAAAATTGTAAGATTTTTGAGGTTTATTATGTAGCAAGTGAAACCTCACAGGCTACGTTAATTACTGGGTTATATTTGCTTGCATTTAAAACAATCAGACCAGTTAAATGTTCTTGTGAGTCTTTTGTGGTCGGTTGCCTGGACCGCAAGTTGCAAGAGAGAAAAAGAAATGTGTCTGAGAGCGTGACATTTACATAAGCATATTCCTTCAAATAAAAACAAACCTACTCCAACAACAAACCTAAAAGAAAGTCACTCATTAGAAAACAAACCCAAGTCCAACCCAAACCTGATGCTGTACATAAAAATGGTCCAAACCCGAACCTATTCGGTTGGGCCCTGCGGGACTCGAGTCGGGTAGGAGATCTGTAATGTGGCTCCAGTAAGTACAAGCATGTGAATAAATGTGTTTGAGTGTGATGTTGGATTTGTTGTCTTTTTCAGTTAACAGGTGTAGTATCAAAAACAGTCCTCATGCACAGCAATTTGACAGAAATGCACTTACTTGTGCACCATTTACAGACAATTAGCATACACCTACAGTAGAGAGTACGCACCTGGCAGACTCCAAAGCCCAGATACCTCCAGTGTCTTCAGCTTCCTCTCTAGCTCCTCCACTCGGTTCCCCAAAATCCTGTTAAAGGAACAGAAACACCAGAGTGGCTGTTCAGTCTTCAGACTTTTGTGCCGACCAGAAATCTAACAGCGTAGGGCTGTCATTGAAAAAGTATTTTCTTAGTCAACCAAAAAGACTGATTTTCAACTAAAAATAAAAAAAGACAATAATAAATTAGGTAGATTGGAAAACATGGGAATATAGAAATTAAAACTGGTCTGTATATATTTTACAGAGAAAATTTGATTGTTTTTCAAAGCATGTCTGCCTACCATTTAGCATAACAATGGATCACACACAGACTACATCTACACTACATTTAAGTGTTACATCATATCTACAGGTATACTGTTATTAAAATGGTGCTTGCTAAGTTGACAAATTTTGAAAATGCATGCAAGAAATTTTTGTTTATAACTTTGTTCTCCTGTGTTCTCCCTTTCGTTCTTCTGTATCCAGTGAACTGCACTACTTAAGCCTGAAACAATACATTAAGAAGAATACAACGATGCATAAACGTCTATGGAGATTAGCTGTTTTCTGCAATATTTACTGTTTTAACTATTATTCACTTCAGTGAACCACTTTGTAGATTAATAAACAAAGAAACATATAGACATAAAGGTAAGTTGATTGACAAAATCTTCAACAAAGATCACCGTGACTTACTAGTCAACTAGAGGCACCCCAAATACAGTGTGCAGTGTGGTCATATTATTTCTTCTGTGTACCAGGTGCTGCCTTTGTGTGTTTTTTTTTCTTCTGTGTATGTTGCAGGATGTGCAGATATGTGATTGGCCACATATGAGACCTCTCTGGTATAAAAAAGGTTGACCAGGCACTACCTGGGGAGACTTTCAGCTTCATTTGCTTTGTTTGCTTTGGTAAAAACATGTCATCTTTGTCAGAGTTTGTGTAACTCTTGAAAGCTGTTAGATTTTCTGAGAACGGGCACCATTTGTTTTACTTACCTTTTTCTCCTAGCTTTAAGTAGGGAATTAGGGTAGCTCTTTGTATTTTTGTTTCATTTATTTTTAGGTTCAGTTAGGTTTTAAAACCCTTAGTTGTTTTGTTTATTATTGTGACATTAACTCGTCACGTTACAACATCCAAGCATAGCATCTTGCCATTGAGACTTTTTAAGGAAAATGTAAATAAACCTGAGCTGGTTTACTACTGAAATAGTGTCTGGTGTTTGGTCAAGTATGATATAGTAAGGAAATAAAAAAAAAAAAACAAAGACAGAAACCAAGTGGGAAGAGTTTCATAACAGCAAAAAGAAGGTCAATGGATTAAATAGACACGCACACCTGTTGGTCTGGCGTTGGTGCTGAATAACCATGTTCTTTTCATGAATGGTCTCCAGCAGGGCTGTGGCCAGAGACTTCAGGTCAGAGATAGACTGAGGAGTGGCTGGAAGACTACATCCACTGTCTTCAATCAGCAAATCTTGCACTGCAGTAAAGAGTGTTTTGTGTGTGTTAGTCAGTATAGAACAGAAAAATAGAAAGAGAATGAGCATTTTTATAAAGCTTTTTTCGTTTCAAGTCTGCCTTTTGGTGAGAGTGAGCAATTGAGTAATTTTTAGTATAATAGTCCTGACTTGACAGAAAACTGTTCACTTTTGAGCAACTTCTCAATTACCTTGTCTGGCAGAGAGCACCCCAGTAAGTGCACTACTGTTAGATGTGCCACCCGCTTTAGAGTCCTTTCTCCTATCCAGGGCAGTCTGCAGAGAAAAACACATGGACAGACATCAAAGAAAATTTTAGTAAATAAGAGAGTCAAATGAAAAAGCACAAACTTTAAGGTCAAACTTTTGATCTATACCTTGTATTTCAGTATGTTGGATTTCAAGAGACTGACTTCCTCTTGGACTTGTTTGAGCCTCTCATGCAAATATCTGGAGTTAAATGAAACATGACATTATGAAAAATAATGAGGTTGCTTCACTTAGTAGTCTAATTCACAGTCTTAATACACTTCAAACTTCAAACTCCCTAGAGCACACAGATGCTCAGTGTTTAAAACAGCAAAGCAGAGAGATATCTCAAACAGTACAGCTAACAGACACAGATTAAATGCAGAATTAGCTTTGCTTTTTAATTTAAAGGGACAAAACATAGAAAACAAAATAACTAATAATCTAAAAAAAGGGTAGAATGGTTAATATACACCGTTCAGGCATAACATTATGACCACCTCCTTTTTTCTACGCTCATTGTCCATTTTATCAGGTACACTTTGTAGTTCTACAATTACAGACTGTAGTCCATCTGTTTTTTACTTTGTTAGCCCCCTTTTACCCTGTTCTTCAGTGGTCAGGACCCCCATGGACCCTCACAGAGCAGGTACAATTTGGGTAGTGGATCATTCTCAGCACTGCAGTAACACTGATGTGGTGGTGGTGTGTTAGTGTGTGTTGCGCTGGTCTGAGTGGATCTGACACAGAAGTGCTGCTGGAGTTTTTAAACACATCAGTGTCACTGCTGGACTGAGAATAGTCCACCAACCAAAAACATCCAGCCAACAGCGTCCTGTGACCACTGATAAAGGACTAGAGGATGACCAACACAAACTGTGCAGCAGCAGATGAGCTATCGTCTCTGACTTTACATCTACAAGGTGGACTGACAAGGTAGGAGTGTCTAACAGGGTGGGCAGTGAGTGGACACAGTGTTTAAAAACTCCAGCAGCACTGCTGTGTCTGATCCACTCAGACCAGCGCAACAAACACTAACACACCACCACCACATCAGTGTTACTGCAGTGCTGAGAATGATCCACTACCCAAATAGTACCTGCTCTGTGAGGGTCCATGGGGGTCCTGACCACTGAAGAATAGGGCAAAAGGGGGCTAACAAAGTATGCAGAGAAACAGATGGACTACAGTCTGTAATTGTAGAACTACAAAGTGCACCTATATAGTAAGTGGAGCTGATAAAATGTACAATGAGCGTAGAAACAAGGAGGTGGTCATAATGTTATGCCTGATCAGTGTATGTTTTTTTTTCGTTGGCCCTGTCCCCTGTCTCTAAGCTAGGTCCTATTAAATTCATAAATAGGTTGAACATGCTAGATTCACTTATGGCAATGTGTTTACCAATAACAGGTTAGGACAGAATTCCTAGTCCTTGCATTTTTAATACGTATACAAGACAATCTCCCTTGGTTTGTTGTTAGTAAACTGTGCTGGCATTATTCTAACACTGCCTGACCTATTCTCCATGCAAAGGGCATCCACATCAATGATGCGTTTGCCCCGGCCACCCAGTATGTGGTTGAGCTCCACGTTGAGGCGGTTAGCTTTCTCCTGGAACACAGTCCTTTCAGCCTTCACGTCCTCTAACTCATCACTCACAGCCTTCAAACTGTTCTCCAGCTCCGCTCTCTGAAACAGGCACAAAGGGTGCTAAAGTTAAGTTCTGTCAACAGCCAGTACTGTTACAGTCCAGACTACTACACTGAATACTGCTATGATTCATTTTGATACATAGCAGTGCTACTCAAAAACGTAACACTAAACCATAGGCCTGGCGCAATTGCCCGATTACAATTATTTAAGCTGACACAATTATTTTGTTTAAGATAGTAGTTTATTTTCCACAAAAATCATTTTGTTTATTTGAGCTGGAGCTGTGTTTGTTGTCAGTTGGGAGCTACTAAGTATTGACAGCTAGGAAGCAAAATAGCTATAAGCTAATTTGGCCACATTATGCTTGCAGTTTAATAGTTGAATGAACAAAAAAGACAAATAAATTGTTAACCGTGTTTCAATTATTTAGATGGCAGTTTATTGTCACGATTGTAACAGGTCTACTAACACAGTCTTCTTATAGTTTTGGTCATAAAATCTCTAACATAACATTTTAAAGTGATTTTTTTTGTTGTCATAACTTTCTCGAGTTCATTGTATGTACCTAGATCAAAAGATAAGTGAAATATCCCAGGAGAGTTTCTGATTAATTAAATGTGCTGCATCACATGCATGTCACTTCAGAACATTACAACAGGCTATAGAGTGTGAAAGCTGTTTCAAGTCATTTTATAGCGCTTTAAACAGTCACCTTGGAACTAATATACTTGGCACTGTCAGAAGCTGAACACCTTAAAGGAATAGTTCAACAAACAAATTTAACTTATACAATTTCCCCTTAATTCACATGTGGTGGACCAGCAAAGACATGTTTGCTTCTTCAGTTTTGCACTGGAGCTACAAGGCTAAGTAATGGAAGCTCATACACCTCCAATTACTAGCATGCAATGTAAGCTTACTTTTATCTATACAAATTGCCAAAATGTATGTTGGACAGTTAAAAACAATAGTAGAACTCATCTTAAAGCTAGAGTTGTATACATTGTCCATTTTTAAAGGTAGCAGTATGTCAAAAAGCGTCAGCACTTAAGCAAGTCTGTTGAGGCAAGTGTCAGATCATTTAGGCTTGCAGTTTAGCTATATAAGCCTCCAGTTTTGAACTAAGGAAACAAACTTTTAAGATCAAAACATGTTTTGGGCTGGCTAACTCACATTAAAGGGTAAAGCCAACAGTGTACTTCAAACACAGGGAGCCCATTTTGATAAAAGCAAATAAACAGATGTCCATCAAAGTGATATACTGAAAAAAAGGATTCCTGTGGTATCTAAAGGATAAATCAAGAGTCAGTGACGTATCAAATAAAAAAGCTGCATGGGAAACACTAGTTGGCTGATATAATATCAGCATTGTGCAAAACTACTTAAAGAACTTTTATTTAAATGCATATATGATTAAAAACATGTTCATCCCGAGTTGCTAAGTAGCAAAGCTGTCTAGGGTTTATCTCTTATTTTCAGGAGACTGAGCATTCAAAAACTGGAAAACTAGTCTTTTTTTTACTGAATGTACCAAAGAGTAGTACATGTGTATTGAATTTAAAAAATACAATTGTACTCACAGTTGTTTTTTTTCCCCCCACAGTGTTTTCTAAATCTGGCAATACTAGCGTGCCTAACTTACCATATCCCAGAAAAATGAAATCATGATACTTTTCATGTGTCATAAAAATGATCTTTAAGCACTACAATATTTAGTATTTAGAGATGGGCAATTTGCCTAATAATTACAGCAGATGAGTGTCTGAACAAACAGGCTCTACTGACTCTGTGCTTTTAGACCTCATTGGCTGTTTACCTGCAGCCCCGCCTCCTCCAGCTGCCTAACCAGGTCTTCGCGTTCGTGGGCTGGGAAATGTCGGACTCCAACTTCATCATCTCCTAGTCTCTGTTTAGTGATGGTCATTCTCAAAAGCTGGATAGAGAAGGAAGAGAGAAGTGTAGAAGAGGAACAGGAAACTCAATAAAAGTGCAGGTGCTTGTGGGTATTCTTTTACCTTGTTGTCTCCCTGAGCCTCAGTTAGTCTCTGAGTCAGCTCCTTCACCTCCTCTCCTAACTGCTTACACCTCTCCCGTGAATCCCTCAACAACTGAGCCAGATTCACCTGTGCCATAGAGAAAGAGCGAGTTACACAGAAAGACAAAGCTGATGTACACTGTACAGTAGGAATTGTACGGACCTGTACAGAGTATAACTATTAAAATGGCATGAATAAACAGCAACAAATACAGAAACAACAGCCAGATTAGAATTAGTAAAGCCTGAGCATTAATATTACAGAACTGGTTTTCTGAATGGAACAGGCATAACGATCACAGACCCACCTGATTGCGTTTCTCTGGAGGCAATGTAGGATCTCCATCCTGAAACACAAGTTGCACAAGAGTACACAAGAGTAGTGATGAGAAAAGCAAAAGCAACAGTCTCAAAACAACATTTCCAGTAACATCTTACATTTGTCAAAAGTTAACTCCTTATCCTTATGGTCCATATCCTACATTTTCTTGTATTTTATTGTTTTCCTTTTTCTATGGCTTTACGCTCCAAAAAGTCATAATTCATTTTACATGAACATTTTCCAACTTTTCTTTATCCCTTTGAATTAAACAGCCTGCTTTTTTACTGTGTCTTTAAAAAAGATAAATGTAAGTAAAACAGAGCTGTACATCATTCAAAAACAGTACAGGCTGAAACAAGCCTTAAACTTCAGTGTGAATGGGCAGGCCTAACTGCTGTAGGCCTCATACATAGATGTTTGACATCACAAAAACAATGAATTTGAAAATGAATTTTTACAGCTTAGTTTTCATATATCGACTGTACAGACCTGGGAATGAACAGTATGTTTTAAAATTTTTGCCATATTCATATACTATATCAAGGTCCTTTATTTGAAAAAAAGTTAGGACCCCCAATGCTGTTCCTAGAGACCTTCCTGTATCATTTCACTTTAACCCTTTCGATCACACCTGACCCAACTAATGATTGTCTTCAGATGTCCTTGATTAGTGGAATCAGGTATGTTAGATTTAGGGTTACATATAAATAAATACATATTTAGGGTGAAACCTGCAAGATGGTAGATCTCCAGCAGGAGTGCTGGACTTTTTTAATGTTACATAACTTTCTATTAAATATAATTTGTAGACCAAGCACCACATAAAAATATCACTTAAAAATATCACTTGTATGCTTTATGTTTTAAAAGACCCACAATAAGTTCTCTGTATTTCTTTTTCAGGCCCTGATGTCTCTCACGGAGCTGATTGGCCATCAGCTTGTACTGGTCTCTTTCCTGTTGGCATGTGTCCAGCTCCTTGGACAGAATCAGAAGAGCCTCCTTCTTGCTCTCCAGCTTACGCTTGCATATCAGGAACTGCAGAAAAAAAGAACAAATTCATCTGTTTAAGTCCGTGTTAGCAGTAAATTCTTTCCTTGAATCTGACACTGCTCTCAAGCTCATAAATGAGCCCCTGAAGTCCGTCCTATGAAACACTTGTCACTCTCCCTTATACCTAGCACTGTATAACTAAGAGAATGTTTCGCCCGGGTTTTAATTTTCGGCACTCCTGGAAAAGTAAATATTGAGCTTTGACTGAGGGGTGGAGATCAGACTCAACCTATTTCATGTTTCTTAGTAGAATGGATCTTACTCGAGTAAGGCCTTTCTGGATTATGCAAAGACAGGCTAGGATGATAAAGGCTATGGACAACATCCGTTGTAAAGATTACACAGTTCCACGTGCCAAACTGTTGATCTGTGGGCTCTGCTTTTACCCTTTTAATTCAAATGAGCCAACACATTAATAGATATACAAACAGAACATGCTGTTATCCTCTTTAAAAAGTCTTGAAACACAACATGAAGTTTATTTGTTTTGCTGCAGGTAGTTAATAATTGGAAGTGCTGGCTAGCACTGTCATTGAAAGATCACCATAATATATACTAAGCATTAGGATTATATCTCAGGGGTACACCTGAAACATGCACATAAGGCCACTGAGGCCATTGCATAGCCACAGGGCAATTTCTTAGACAATGTGAATGAACAACGTTGCCTTTATCTGTAATGAATGAAGCTGGGCATTTGGAGAAGCTGTTACACAAAAGTCAAAATGACTACATGAAACTAATTCATGACAGAAGTAATTACTGAGAAGGCCCAAAAATGAGAAAAATGAGCAAGAAAATGGAGACAATTTAAGCAACAAACAATATTTAACACACTTTATATTGTATTATTGTAGATTAAACTTTAAATATACACAAAAACAACCTTGTCGACAGTTAACAAGAGCAACTGTATGTTCATATCTCATATTTTATACTAAATGCTACATGTAGCAAAACATGCTACATGAAGGCAGAGCTGTATAAAAGTTAAGGCATCATTAACAGCTGGTGTTCATCCTGTTCCATATGTTAACGCCACCCAGCGCTACGGGCGTCGAACAAGGGCGACAAGGGCGGCTTTAAACGCTCACCTCGCTCACCAGACCCTGCCAGTCACTTTCGCTCCTTCTAGAAGGATCCATTGTAGCAGCATTTGGCGTCAATGAATTAAAGCATCTTTTCTGTCCAGCTCGTGCGCAGACAGGAGCGGCGCTGCCTTGAAACGACGAGGGAAGCTCAGCTCCGGCTCCTCCTCTCCTGTTTACTGCACGTCACCTGGTGCAGCTTTTTCCCCACCTGTTTTCCGACTTCCCCACCTGAATTCCGCCTCCTCTGCCAGGATTAGCTGGTAGTTCAGACTCACAAGCTGTCCGGCGCAGAAGCACTGCTTGATAAACTGCTGAGTCCATACAAGAGCCTACAGGGTCTTTAGCGCTTTAGCCTGACGCGTAGAAGTGGACTCCAAATAATTCGGCAAATGCAGCTGTGTAAAATATATGTGTAAAATGTTGAAAGATTTGTATGTTTATTTTTTTATAAGCGTGGCCCACCGACCTCTCAGACACTAGATGGCGTCGACAGACAGAAAATGTGAATGTTGCCAGAGCCGGTTTAAGGGGAGCCTGGCTGCTTCCTTTTTCTCCCTTACATCAGAAACATGACTGCGAAACGCCAGAGGGCGCCCACAAGCGAGTCCTCAATGAATGGGGGTGAATGGAGCTAAACGGATAAAAACTAAGAGCCAAAATGGTTTCTAACCACGTCACGATCTGCCTAAAGTAGAAAGATGTATTTCACCAAAGGAGAAAAGAAAGCGTACCTGCATATTTTCTTTTTTTCTACAGCAAACAGGTTTTGGGCAGCAGGACGCCAGCATTACTGCTACTGAGTGCTGATTGGTTAGTATTACTGCTACTGAGTGCTGATTGGTTAGCATTACTGCTACTGAGTGCTAATTGGTTAGTATTACTGCTACTGAGTGTTGACTGGCTGGCATTACTGCTCATTGTTGCTCATTAAGCAGCTCATTAGCTGAGTGAAGGTTCACCCTCACTGATGTTGTGAATGTACATGAAACACTGTTATAAAGTCCTGTAACTGGAGTTCAAAAGCGCACAGAAATATAACAGTGGTGTTAAAATGTTTTGTGCTGTTCTGTGTTCAGGAAACAAACACATTCACATTCTATAAAATGTTTAAACATTTACAAGTGTAATTTTGCTCACTCCACATAAACTCATTCATTTTGGACGCGCTCGGTAGCGCCCTCTAGTGTTTGACATCCCAAAGACACTACTGAGTGGCAATTCTCCGCTCTACTCATTCTCTGGTATTGCTGTGTCTGAAACCACTACTACACTAAATAGTATGTTAAAAATACACCACCATCAGAGGTCCATTCATTATATGTATAGTACAGGGGTCAGCAAAATTGCAGCTCTTTTGATGTCCTGTTGCGGCTCCACAGCAGAATAACATTTTAGGTAAAAAAAATAATCCTCCTTTGCAGTAAAATAAAGCTCTGCTGATCATTCTAACACAGTTTTAATAATAAATAGTTTTAAACGCTGCAGTTAATGTGGCCTATAACTGCTAATTCACCAACCTTTAACCCTGAAGGTTGGTGTGTAGACTGCTGGTCACCATAGCAATGCAGACAAGACTCTCGTCTAGCGAGAAGCTAACGAAAAGTCAAAGAGAAAGATTTAAGGAGAACGTCGATAACTTTGAGGCAAATGGACTTTGCATTTACAAGCACTCTGGCTTTCCTGATATGTTTCTGCAACGAGAATTTGAATTTTCCCGTTCCACCTCAAATGGTGCAGCAGTAACTGGTGCGTCAGGTGAAATGTACAGCTTTAGGGGCTGGCGAAGAGGAAGCTGACTTCAGCCTCGTAAAGAGTCGACTGTTGAGAGACATTTTACAAGAAACTATTCCACTTTTTTTTCCTGCCGGAGATGCAAGAAAACCAGCTATAGCTGAGCTAAAGCTTAAAGCAGAGCAAAGTAAGTCCGCAGTTCCATTTATTTTATATTGTTTATCCTATACTAGTATTAGCACATACTAAAACATATTAACGGCGAAGTTGTTAAATTAGACATAAAATATTGTGGGTCCCGAGGTGGTTTAATTTTTGCTGAAAGGACAAAGTTTGCATTGTTGACCTCTGGTATAGCAGTATGCAGTTTTAGACGCAGCCTTGTCCACAACAGCGTCCAAACCTTTACTTGGGTTTAAATAGAGTAGTTGGTATAATGAAAATGGGCCATTCAATATTTACTCATAAACTTAGCTTGACTCACCATTGTTAAGTGTAATAATATATTAGTGTGTAAAAAGGTCGACAAATTTGGTTCCTTTAATAACTTTAGGCTGCATATTAAACGCTAGGTGGCGTCGACAGACAGAAAATATGAGCATCTATCACCAATCAGTAACCTGCTTTAGTTAAAGTCCAGGTCAAGTAGAAACTCCGAAATGTAGCAAAATGAAAGTAATAAGCATTCAATTGATTTGATTAAAAGCAGAGTTTATTAATTTTTTACATAAAAACCAGCTTTGGAACAAACTTGGAAAAGACTTGGCATTATTTGTTGTTATCATGACAAATTCCATTAGGCTTAAAACCTAATGGTTTTGCTTTCTAATGGGAATTGGATTAATGGTTGTCATTAGAGACCACTTGTTTCCTGTAGAATATCTTTAGATCCCATTAGGAAACCATCTATTGCATTTAGAATCAGCCACTGGTCACCTGTTAAACCATTATGATCCTGTTAAACAAATATGATCCTTTACACTGTGATATCAACCCATCAAAAAAGCCAAAACATATTACAAAACTATCAGGAACCAAATAAAACACTTAATGGTTTCTATTATTTTTTTCAGCAGAATTATGTCTATTCTGTGAAAATATCATGGATATCGTCAGTATTTAAAGAACACTGAACAGCTGCATGTTACATTAAAAAGAGAGCAACATTAGTACTGTTAAACTGGATTTAGTGCAGCGCGGTATGTAAAACGTTAAAAATCAGTTGTACTGAATTTATGATAGTATCTTTTAAAATATGACACTACTGTCTTTTTTGCCTGTTCCAACAAGTTAGATGACAAAAATAGTGTGTATTCAAAAATTGTATTGAAGTATCTTTTTTTTCCATAGCGCCCTTGGCTGCATGCTAATTTATGTAACTTGTGCTTCCGAGAACAACATTCATAAAAAAGGAAGAGAATGATAAAATAAGACACACTGATAGTAACTATAAGGTCTGACAGCAAAGCTTTCATAGGAGAGAACCAAAACCAAGGCATTTCATATTTTGACACTAGGGTGGATTCAGGTACTATGGAACATCAGGCCATCAGGAACATACACAAATTACTGACAAATTAAAGGAATAGCCAACATACAGTTAGTAGGTGTGGACCACCCATAGCAAGCTGCATAAGGGACAATGTAGGGATCATCATTCAGGTCTGTACAGTTCTCTGCGTGTATACTACAAATGCATACATATTTACTGATGATTTTCCCACAGAAGTAAATGCAGATGTTAAAACACTAGTCAGCTGAACAGTCTTTATGACTGAAGCTCCTACCATTTGCATAATGAACCATATTTCAAAATGGCTTGGATCTTTTCCTCCTGTTATCTTGATTGTAAAGTGAGGTCAACTGGGCTTGCTCAGCATTTTATTATGCCATTAGTGTGGTGTTAAAAGCTTATTTGTATCATGCAGTACACCCAGCTGAGAGCATCTACACTCACTGTATTTCTCCAGGCATTTATTCAGGTTTTAACCGTCACCTGTCATAAGCACTGAATAAGAAATAGTTTTTATTTCGTTTCATTCTAAAAGTACTTTTGTAATTTAATTTGACTATTTACAATATTTCCTTTTGCTTATTTAAATAAGTTGCAGCTGAATTGGAACTGGAGTTTCTCATAGTGTCACGTATAACCTGATGGCTCAGAATACGAGAATCCACCTTTTAAATAGAAATAAATTGAGACAGTAGGAAGTTGTGAGACTGCATAATAGTAAGTGTGTAATTCTTAACTTTAAGTTTATGAATAAACTAGATTTTTAACCAAATAATCAGTGGAAACACACTGTGAAAGTAGCCATCCTATACTTCACATTTTGTGAGATTTTAGCTTTAGCTTTAAATTATTAAATTAAATTATTAAACAAAGATTTGCTCTATATGCACTGACACATTTTGCTGATTTTTGTCCTGATATTTCGTAGTTGTGTTCACCCCCTATTTATTCCCATATCCCATTTCCTTTGCAAATCACCTTTTTGTCATCACAAATTTGGAGTAGTCTTTCATAACGTTGATATCATAAAGCTGATGTAAACCAAAACTAATCACACTATTAAACCTATATAGTCCTTGTTGACTGGTTGACAAATCATTGGAATGGACACTGCTGACTGTTGAGAGTTCAATTTAGCTAAATTAACAGAATCAACTGTCATTTGTGATCAGGTACTTCCACTTTAAATTCGGTCGCTCATGCCATCCTCTGTTTTTGGCGAACTTGAAAGCACTTTCAAAAAGGTCAGGGAATAAGGCCATCAAGTTTATTTTGCATGCTTCCGCAGGGCTAAACAAACAGAAAGAAATTAATTGGCTGTGGTCCAACACAAAATCATAAAGTATGTTCTGTATTCGTAAGGTATGTTTTATACACAACTCACTAGTGTTCATGCAGATTTCGAATGAATCGCAGCAGGCCGAGTGTGTTCTCTGGGTAGGCCTTTTTCTTACCATCCAATTTTTGCACAAGCTCAGCAGGCAGCTGTGTGAAAACAAGTGGTATAGTTGCACAAATTCATTAAAAACAAATATTCTTGAACCTAAAAATGAGCATTTCACAGTAAAGTAGATTTAGCCATGATGTTTACATAACTGAATCTCTTTGGGGATCTCCTTGACGTAGACTACTGCAAAGTTTAGAATCTCATATAGGACATACTTGTTTAAAGCCTTAAGCATCTCTACCAGGCACAAGGGCTCAAAATAAAAGCTGTCACCATTAATTCATGTCAGAGAGGCCTAACTTTAGTCAGTGTTAACAGTGAAAGAAAGTCTTGCTGAGTTGTACCCAAACTCACTTTTGTTTTCCACTCTGAGAAGGATTTCCCTACTGTCATTTCCTCTATTGAATGAAGGAGCTCTTCCTCAGGGCTGCGGCAGTTCACTGCCTCATTCTCAATCCCCAGTTTTTTTAAGTAGTCTACTTTCCTAAGAAAATATGAAAAATGGAAAAAGCAGTACATAGTGCAATATGAATAGACTGTATTCACAGTTTAGAATCTATTTAAAAGGGAAAATTTCTACATAATTTAATCACTGAGATGTAACAAAGTCATGCGGAGTGGTCTGACATAAAACGCACCGTTGTGGAGAAATGTACTGAGTCAGAATTGTTCACAGTGGCGGTGATAAGAACCAGATGTCAAAGTGTTTAATAGCTCTAAAAGCTACGTCATAGAAAATTTATTACTGGACACCATTACAAATACATTTCTCGATACCAGAGACATCGTTTTATGATAGTTTTCAGATTTTTACCACAATTTTACCATTATTAGTATTACATATAGAACTTATGATATGAGGTTCACTGGTCATTTTGCACAGTAAACAAAATGGCTATATTTATGCTGTTGACACCGAGACACCTGGTTCCTATCACCACCACTATAGAGAAACCTGAGCCTGTAGGTTTCTCTATAACGTACCATTTCTGAATGATTGTTTGTATCTCAACAATTGAACTAAAAAAACAAAATATGAAAATCTGTCTTATTGTTCAGCAAAGGCAGTATCTACAGATTGTGTTGTGTTTGTGTAGTGAAAGAGTGACCCTTTAAATTTCCCACAACAACAATGTCATACAAATGAGAGTTTTACAGTAACAATCATAGAATAACAGTTTACTTCTTTTCTAGCATATCAACAGTGTGAATCAGAATCAGTTTCCACATTTAAATGATTTCTTAAAGCTATATCTTACTTTTTGTCTGTCCAGAAGAAAGGATGAGCGAGGGCCTCTTTTATTTTAGGTCTCTTCTTTGGATCATGATTGATCATCCACTCCACCAGGTCCTTTGCGAGGTCATCCTTCAGATGTTCCAGCGAGTATTTCCCATAAAGAATGTTAAACTCACAATGGACACCTTTACCAAACGGATGGTGTCCACGAGAGAGGATGTAATATATTAACATTCCAGCAACCTAAAACAGGTGTACCAGTCAACTTCAATTGCAATTTATGTTCTTTTAGGTTTTACAAAACAAAATCCCAACAATCACTCTTTATTTCAGTTTCAGTACATTACCTGAATGTCAGAACTCCTCTTGTATGCACTGTTATTGTCCTCTTCAATGGTCTCCCTGGCTTTCCAGTACTTTGTTCCAGCAGCACTAGTGCGTAGTGTCGTTTGTCCTAAATTCAGCCTCCGGCTTATACCAAAATCAGCTAATCTCGCCTTTCCAGTTATATCTGTTAACAATATAAATTATTCTTACATTGTAAATGGCTCTAAAATGTTTCAGTGGTTGAATCTGTCATTAATTTATATATTTCAGTTGTTTGAGACCAACGAGAATAACTCCTACCAATCAAAACATTCTGGGGTTTGATGTCCCGATGGAGCACTTTGATATCTTCACTGTGAAGAACTTCAAGGCTGCACAGCACCTCCTTCACAATTTTCTTCAGGACAGCAAGCTGCTCACTGCTGTCTTCAGGCAGATGGTCTTGGATGTATTCTTCCAGTGTGTATTCACAAAGTTTAAGGCCAAGATAACCAAAATGTTCATCTTCTGCAAAGTCCACATATTGCACAATAGAAGGATTGTCGAGTTCTGGACGCCGTAAACATGCCTCTTCGTTTTTGAGGTCTTGATAATTGGACTTAAGCATTCGTTTGACAGCTACCTCAGTGCCATCATCCCTCAGACCAAGAAAAACCTCTGTTCCATCACTTCCTTTAGCTATCTGGAACTCTGGGCCAACACCAATTGTAAGACTCCCCAGTCTATAAACTTTACTTGCATCTATATTAGCAAGTTTCTCCATCTGGGGCCTCCAACGTTGGCTGATTTGGAGCCATCTTCTTGGTAATGTTGGATTTCCTGTAGTAGATGTAAATGGCTGCACGCTGGAATTTGACTCCTCAAGTGAGGTCATGGCCGTATCTGAATCTGCACACTCTTTTGTTTCTTGTCCCTCATCTTCTTTTGATGTCATCTCCTGCTGGGCTTCTTTCTTCTTCTTCTTTTTCTTCTTCTTCTTCTTCTTCTTCTTCTTTGACAGCATGTTCTCTGCTCCCTCATATAAACTATCTGAGGCACCTGAACTTTGTGGATGTTTGAGATCTGTGTCCAGTTTGTGCAGCTTCTCCTTAATAACATCATCCATTCTTATCTCTGCAGCATCAAGTACCCTATCAGGCACTGAGAGTAATCCACATGAATGAATATGTTCTGGGATGAACTCATAAAGATCAGCAAACAAGCGGTAAGTAAGAATGCTGACATCGGGTGAATACTTAGGACTAGTGAGAGGTAAAAGACCCCTGCATAAGTTTTGAAGAACAGAAACGTCAAGACCAGCATTGTGCTTTAAGGACTTCTCCATAGTCACACAAAGTATGTTTAGTATCAGCTGATTGAATACTTCTCCCTGAGGGGAGCCAGCAGGTTGTACACTTTTGATCAGAATAGGTACAATCTCGTCAAATACTTGGAGAGATATTTCTTTCATCATGAAAATTACAGCCTGCAAGGTGTTCAGTGCAATTATCTGATACTCATGAGGTATTCTGGGAAAGCGTTGGATGAACCCCTCAATGTAATTGTCACTGTTCTTGGAGTCCTTCAGCCACTTGATGCAACTCAGTTGAAACTGTTCAGCACCTGGACCCATGACATTAAAATAATTTTCAAGTAGGGTAATATGGCTGAATGGATGTTCCTCGAGAAAGTTTTCCTTGAAGAGGTTGAAAACCTCTACCTGGGTTTTCTTAGAAACTAATGTAGTCAAATTAAAAAAGAGCCTGCATTTCTCAAAAGCTTCACTCCCTGAAGGTAACTGATGAATAATAGTCTCTAGTTTCTTATCGATATCTGGGTGTAGTCTGTAATTTCTTTCGATGTAAGCGCCAGCATCTATAAGTGCTTTGACCATGTCCTCTCTGTTATTTTTAACAGCAAACTGTAATGGTGTAAAAATTTGTGTTTGATGGCCATCTGGATTGGCTTTAGCTGCAAGTAATCTTTTCACTATACTGAGTGGAACTCCTTGTGTAAGTGCAGCATAGTGCAGTGGTGCTAGTGCATTTGCTGAAATTTTATTAGGGTCTGCCTGCTCTCTCAGGAGAAAGTTACAAATCTCTTCATTTGCACATACAACTGCAGCCGACAGCAGCGTAAGATCATCATTCCAGAGTGCAGAAGGATAGAGTTCATTAATATCACATCCTCTGAGTAGTCTCTGCAACTTTTTCAGCTTGTTGTCAATGATACATTGAATTAAGGGATGAGTTGTTCTTGGCACAACTGAAGGTGCTCCTGGTAAAAATTTTATTTGGATTGGGAATGCCATCGATTCTTAAATGTTCTGTTGAGGGAAGAAGGGGAGTGGTTAGCTTGGCACTTCATAATCATCCATTTCACATTTTCTTTAGTCAAACAAAGTCTGAGCACTGCTACAAAAGAAAAGCTGAAAAGAGCCAAACTGTGAAAATGATTTCAATAAACAAACGACCATACACACAAAACTAAATAATAACAATAGGCATCACTCATCATCAGTTAATTAAATTAAATCACCTGTTTATTAGACAGTTGAGAGTCAGACTGACACACAGCAGTCTGGGTATCTAGGAGAGAATCCATTAATCCAAGATGTAGCATCTTTGCAGCAGGATATGGGTTCTTGATATTTGGGCCTTATTCCTTTGAACATTGTCATTGTGTGTGGACACTATGAGAAGTGTGTAGGCCCTCTTACATCATTGCACTATAGCCAATGAAAAAATATCACCCTTTAAGAGATTTAGTTTGTTAATCATTAGGTCACACAGTCTAATGTAAATAAAGCAATGCCCATAAAAACTGGACTTTGGCCAGATCTCCTGGCGTCAAATGGATCCATTTACCTTTACTCTCAGACTGGTGATGGAACTACACTCTTAAAAAAGATGTTTCTTTAAAGGGTTCTTTCATAAAGGGAATAGTTCTTTTTAGAACCACGAATTTGTGGTTCTTTGTGTGGTGAAATCGTTCTTCAGATTGATTTAGGATGTATTGTATATGGTTCTAAATAGTACATTTTTAAAAATTGCTCTATATAGCACCAAAAAGATTCCTCTATTGTTACAAGCTTGACATTGTAATAATGGAAGAACTCTTATTGATGCTGTAGAACAATTTTAAAAAAGGTTCTAAAACATTCTCAATCAATCTGAAGAACCATTTTGCCATATAAAAAAGCATTTAAGCATGAAATGTTCTTTATATAATTTATGGTTCTAAATAGAGCCATTCCCTTCACTAAAGGACCCTCTTTTTTAAAAGTAGGCTGGTGAAAAAGCCACTTGTATTGGAGCTTATGAAAACGCACCTGAAAAACTGTCCGGCTTGATGGCTCTGTCCTCTTCCTCGAGCTTCAACTGGTTACTCTCGCTGACCACCAGAGCGAGGCACTCTGAAGGTGCACATCACTTGCTTTGCTCTTTCGTTTCTGTCCTAGTTTTCATTTCTTCAGTCAACCATAAAAACGCTGACTACTGTGTCCCTGACATAAGTGATGGATTAAGATAACTGAGCAGGCAAAAGTGCACAATAATAACTGTACTTTCTTTTGTTGGTATCGTTCTGTTGGAAAACTTTGCCCAAGGGTGTGGAAGTGTGTGGAAAATGAAACTGATTGTCCTTATCTTAGGTTCTGATGGGCGGGACTTACAGGTGACCAACACCCTGGGAACTTTTACCAGAGGACAAGTCTCTGCAAACAGGTGTATACAAGTACAAGTGTGTGACAATGTTTTAAGCATGTATGCATGTTTTACTTTATGTAGTAAAGCCACATAGTGATGTTTTGTAAGAACTGGCTACATCTGTCAGCATTCAGCCAGTGTGCTTCAAAATAGCAACTACAGATAGTGCACTGCTACCTGCTGAATGATGAAGCAGGCTGAAAGAAGAATAAAGTTAGAAGATCAGGGAGAGAGGAGGAGAGGAACAGTAGTTGTCTCTGCTCTGTGCTGGGCCTGTGCTATCCTGTTAAAGTTGTGAAAACTTAATTCCTGGACCAGCTAAGCCTCCGTTTTACACCTCCCACCATATTTACAATTTCTACATCCAAATGAAAAAGAAGTTTTTCTCTCTTTGAGTTTGGAAACACAATACTCCTCAGCAGATCATACTGCCTCACGTTATGATTAACTGATATAAATATATTAAGCATGATGCCATCACCTATTTAAGATGTTTTTTGAACATTTGGTCCTATTGAACAATGAATAACTGAACAATGTTCCTAGTCTTAAACTGCTCCTGTCCCAGCTTTTTTGGAATGTGCTGTATGCATCAATTTTAATATCAATGTTTTTCTTGGGGTGGCACGGTGGCACAGTGGGTAGCGCTGTCGCCTCACAGCAAGAAGGGCCTGGGTTTGATTCCCAGCTGGGAGACCAGGGTCATTTCTGTGTGGAGTTTTTCTTGCCTGTTCTCCCCGTGTCAGCGTGGGTTTCCTCCGGGTACTCCGGTTTCCTCCCACAGTCCAAAAACATGCAGTCAGGCTGATTGGACATGCTGAATTGCCCCTAGGTGTGAGTGTGTGTATGACTGTGTATGTCTGTCTGTCTGCCCTGCGATGGACTGGCGACCTGTCCAGGGTGTATCCTGCCTTCCACCCAATGACAGCTGGGATAGGCTCCAGCACCCCACCGTGACCCAGAAGGATAAGCGGTTTAGATGATGTATGTATGTATGTATGTATGTATTTTTCTTGTTATTATCTTACCTGAAGTTGCTGACCGTGTTTGGTTTGAGTTTTGCAAATAATTGCATACTGTACTGCCATTGTTGTTTGTACAATGTTTGCAAAATAATTATAATAAAAAAAACTCTCTGGATGGCTCCATAGAATAGAACAGAAACCATGGAATGGAATCCATGATTCAGCTCTTTCAGTGGACATGGGACCACACCTACCAGCTAAATGTAGGATGTTGCAATGAGGCAAAACTGCTGGCCACGTTTGGCCCTAAAGCTAAAAAAAAGGGGTAGATTTAGTGATTCTGGGGCTCTAGGCAAAAGACAAGAATGGGGCTCTCTGGATGCACATTTAAAATTAGTTGAGGCTCTTAACAGCGGTCTCCAACTCTCCCTACTGTGCTGCAGAACTTAGTTCCAACCTGTATCTAATTAAGCTGCCACACCCCTTACTTGCATCTGATCCAGCCAGTCAAGGACTTGGGAAGACGCTGAATAGCTGGAGCAGGTGTAGCAGATTGTGGTTGAAACTAGACTCTGCAGGAAGGTAGAGCTCTAGAGCCAAGGTTGGCAACCACTGTTCTAGACTGTTCTCCTCCTATTCGCTCTAGTTCATTTTACTTGTCAGTTATTTTTCTGAATATTCTGATGACAACTGCAAACATTTTCAGTTGAAGTTATAATATTAGATTAAGAAAGATAATTTGGTTTACATGCGTTTGCTCATTTGAAGTTTAGTGAACCCAACATTTGAAGGTAACAGTATTTACCTTTTCAAGTTAAACATTCACAAATTTTTACAGCATGTTTTTTGTGTTTGTCCTGTCGGTGTACAAATAAGAAACACAAAGGACTACAGGACTAATTTCATAAAACAAATCATTTTAACAAATGTAACCCCAGCTGTTAGTCAGCGCTTGGCAGACACATTTCTGCTTACATAACTGTATACAGTTAACAAAAATGCATACTGTTTACATATGTGTTAAATATGGTTAAGATCCATCTCTGACCAACTCAGAATGTGGTTTAAGTGGTCCAATCGTAATTCGCTCACAGGGCCTCTTAAGTGTGTGTCTGGCTTTTCATGCAGTCAAATGAAATCAGAATGTGATCCGATTTAAAAATGCATGTTAATGCAAAGTGAAAACAAGTCTATTGAGTGTCCTCCAGAAACATGCTCGTTGTGTTGACTGCCTCTGCAGAGATTCTCCGTGTGTTTTCTGTATTTGTAGCACGTTTGTAGTGCTGGTTTAGTCATTTTGATAAAAGCATTTACTGAGCTTGCGGAGCGTCTATGAATTTGAGGTGTGTTTAATTAAAAATTGTTATTTGATTTATGGTTTTCTGAGGTGGCATCTCGTTTTTTAATTTCACAGTGTGTTGCGCCTCGTCGGCCACCGAATAATCCACCTTACTTTTAAACAGAAAGAAGTTCAAAAGTAACGGGAAGCACTGATAATACATAAAAGTGATTGGGATTCTTTCCAATGTGTTTCTGAATAGAATGGAATTTTAACCAAATAAGTCACAGGCGGCGCACTGTGAAAATGACCTCTATGTTTGTAATTGTGTGATTTTTACCTTTTTTAGTGTCCTTATAAAAGCACATAAACATTATGTAGAACATAAGTAGACCTCAAGAAAAAAAGGCAATAGGGAAAGAGAGAAATAAAGCTGACAAATTTTACTCATCTTGAGTAAAAGTAGAGTTTATTTAAGATAACAACGTTTTTGGTAAAATAAGGCTAATATAGTGATATTTATCAAAAGTGGTGTTCACCGACAAAAATCTTAAAGCTAAGAGATGTTGAACTGTATTCATGAGAAAATACATTTCCCAAAAAATCTAAAGTGATAAACTGTGACACAGCAGTAAACATCAGCTCTGACAGGAACACTTTCACAGGACAGAAACAAAACCTGTATATTTTTATTTTTCGACATTAGGGTGGATTCAGGTTTTATGGAACATCAGGTCATATAGTTATATTTATGATGCAGGCCCTGATTGATTAAACCATTACCTTGTTTGAGTTCACCTTAGAAATGACTTTTGTCACTTTAATTAATCTGTTTACTGTATTTCTTTTCACATATGTAAAAAGATTAGTTGATGATGCTGATGGTGGAATTGGAACCTCTTAAAGTGTCTCAGATCACCTGATGGCCCAGAACCCCAGAATCCACCTTACTTTTAAGTACAAAAGTATTGGGAAGTGATAAAAATATAAACAAATCGCTTTTTCTTATTACAGATTTGAGTAATTATTTTACAATGCTGATATCATAACAGTGGTGAAAACCAAAAACGGATGAGGTCACATAACGTTTAGGTCATGTTGTTCAGTCATCATAACACCGGTACAGATCTGAGCCATTTTCTCAGACTTGGTGTAGAGTTCCATCCTCTCACTTTGGCAAACTTGAAAGCATTTCCAAAAAGGTCAGGGAATATGGTCATCAGGTTTACTTTTTCTGCATCATCAGAGCTACACACACAGAAAGGAATCAATTATATGTGATCTGACACAAAGAATCACTTTAATAATGTATGTATATCTATAAATGGAACTCACTAGTGTTCATACAGATTCCGTATGAATCGCAACAGGCCAAGTAAGTTCTCTGGGTAGGGCTTTTTCTTACCATCTACTTTGTGCACAATTTCAGCAGGCAACTGTGGAAAAACACATATAAACAAGCATTTATTTAAAAAAAAAAACCATGGTATTATTTCAATACTTTCTTCACAGGCCATCATCAGCTTTGACTCACCACATGGATGTGCATCACCTACATTAGTAAGTGGCCACTCGCAGCACAAGGGGAGGAGGAGATAGTGAGAGGTGGATTTTTCAAAGAGTATGCACTCACCCTCGGCTTAATTAACTTCAGTGGGCCAATCAGCTAGCTATGTAAACTTTACAATGGAAAAAGTTTGAACATAATATATATGAAATTTGCTTTGTCTGTATATGAGCTTTGGTTTAAAACCATGGTGTACTGCCTTTCTGTTTTGTTGTAAAGCAGTTATGTAAAAGATATGTAGTAGTTTGTATCCTAAAGCCCAGCAAAACAAATATTATTGTTTTGAAATGTTATGCATTTTAAAGTAGTTTACTGCTGTAGCTTATAAACAGCTTTGTCCACAAATCTGTTCTGGTTAAAAAAGGAATTGGTCCAGGTTGCAATGATTTCTAGTGCTGAAGTGTGATCTGTTGCCCCTCCAAGGGGTTATCTAAGACACTTAATTTGAGCTAAAAAAAAGTAATGGAACAGAACTTAAGATGGTGTTGGAGATTCCCTCGAGGGGAAATGATGAGACCAAGTCTCTTAATAATATAGCTATTTCCTCCAGACCTTCAGAATGAAAACTGTCTCACTAGAACATGTGTGAGATTTATGTTGCACTGTGCTTATGAGAATGTGAGTCAGTGTTAAAAAGAAACTCTCTCAGGTCAAACCTACTTTTGTTTTCCACTCTGAGAAGGTCTTCCCCATGGCCATTATTTCTATGGCATGAAGGAGCTCCTCATCAGGACTGAGATAGTACTGCACCTCCTTCACATTCCCCAGTTTCTGTAAGTACTCCACTCTCCTAAGAAAATGTGAAAGCAACACAGCAAAATACAATATAGATTTGCTTTTTCCCAGTTCTATGTTTATGGAACTTAGATGTTTACACAAGTTGGATGAAAAGACTAGTCCATTTATAGTCAGCATAATCTCATTGACTTAACTAGAATGCATAACGTCCCCTCTTGTCTGAAAAACATACTGCCAGACACTCTGAAGCTGCTCCATGATGCTACTCCAACTTTAAAGTCTATATACTACATGGACAAAAGTATGTAGACATCCCTCCTAGTTCTTGTGTTTTAGCCACATTCCAGTCATACTGAAGAGCTCAGTGACTTTAAACATGGCACTGTCATAGGATGCCAACTTTCACAATTCAGGTCATGAACTTTCTGCCCTGCTAGATCTTCTCTGGTCAGCTGTAAGTGATATTATTGTGAAATGGAAGCGTCTATGAGCAACAACAGCACAGCCATGATGCAGAAGCCCAAGCAAACTCAAAGAGTGCGCACACTGAGAGCTGAAGGATGTAGGATGTAGTGTAAAAATCTCCTTTCCTCTGTCAGCCCAAGCTGTCTGTTTCTATCATTTTATGCAGTGACGGGCAGCATATTTCAATACTAGCTAGTAAAATGACGTTACATTCATCTACTTTGAAAACTGAAAAAATTGCCTTGACTTATAAGCAGGGTTGGGATAGCTGCTGAAACATTTGTAGTTAGCTACTTTGTAGCTACTTTACCAAAATATGTAGCTAGCTACAATTTAGCTACTTTTCCAGAAAAAGTAGTGGCTACTTTTTAGCTACTTTTTGCAAAGTAGTGCACTACTTTTTAGCTACTTTAATAGCGTGATTGTCAGAATGTTTGTGAATCTCCTCCTGACACACCAAACAAGCCCAAGTGACAGTGTGAACAAGACACTGCATTTAATCATGTGCCAGAAAGAAACATACAAATTAAAAAGCTGCAAATATACAAAAAGATCACCAAAAAGTGAGTTTAAGTGTAACCAACAATCAAACTTACCCAACCAAAGGTGTGATATCCAACAAAAATTTAGACTAAAGGCAAAGTTAATCATTCCAGGTTTTTCCTTACAAAAATCAACAAAAATAACCAAATACAAACCAAACAACGTTATGCAAAGCACTGCCAATATTGGAAATAACACTGCTCCAATGTAAACATTTCAGCCAGATATGTACAGACATGACATTCAGAGTCCTTTGTTAAACTTCAGCAACAATTTAGCTTCAAAGTTCTCATCAGTGACCCTGGCTCTGTTTGGGGTGAGAATCAGGCCTGAATAATCTCTCCACTGCTGCAGAGCTGTCGCGGCTCCACAGCAGAACTAGATTTTTAGGTAAAATAACATAATCCTCCTTTGCTGTAAAATCTTTGTAACACACAGTTTTAGCACCATTTTCACAATAAATGGTCTTAAACGCTGGGGTTAATGTATAACTGCTAATTCACCAACCTTTAACGCTGAAGACCGACTGCTGGTCACACAGCAACGCAGATAACGAAAAGGCAAAGAGAAAGATTTAAGATGAACATCGATAATTTGGAGATGGAGGGACTTATTTGCATTTATAATCACTCAGCTGGTTTCCTGATATGTTTAATCTACAACAACTCACAAACAAAACAGGACAATTCGTATGAGAAGCTGGAGAATGAGAAGCGACTTCAGCTTCATAAAAAGTCGAACATTGAGAGACATGTTACAAGAAACTCGTGGAGAAGTTTCCTGAGATGCGAGAAAAGCGGCTACAGCTGAGCTAAAGGTTAAAGCAGAGCAAAGTAAGTCTGTGTTTGCGTTTATTTAATTTTTAGCCTATAGTAGCACATCAGCACATACTGAGACATACAGCCAAGATGGTAAAACGGACATAAAATGTTGTGCCTCCCAAGGTGGTTTCATTTTTGTTGAAAGGACAAAATGCCTCTTCTTACCATTTCAGTTGCCGACCACTGAGTTAAGCCTACTAGTAAGCGGAGATCAGCGTGTGGGGCAAGCGCATGACCGTTTGCTCGAACTGTCAGTGGGTCAGTCAGGGTTGCACAGTCGCCACCAGCCCAGTTAACGACCTTGTTCTATGGTTCACATTTTGCGCGGACTGCCTAAAGCCTGTAGCGAAAATGTAGTGAAAATTATCACTATAGCTACACAAAAATTTGTATGCACTACAGCTATTAACTACATTTCACAAAACTGTAGCGGCTACGGCTATTAGCTACAAAAAAATGTAGTTAACTACAAAATGTAGCGCTCGCCGAGGGACGCTACCCCCAGGCCTGGCTTCAGGGGTAGGTCCCGGTGACCCTCTCCCGGACAGGGTACACGATCTTCTGTGTCCGTTTTTCATGGATGGTTTTTGGATCGAGTTAGTCTGGGTCTTCACTCAAGACCTGTTCACCCTGGGAGACCCTACCAGGAGCATATTGCTCCCGACGACTTAGCTCTGAAGATCCCTAGACCACACAAGCCTTTCCGCCACGACAAGGCCCCGATCCAGGAAGGGTGTAACAGACATGACAGGTGATTTTTGACTTCGATCAAGGAACATTTCCTAACTTAAGATGCTGTAAGATTCCTAAATTAAGATAAAACTACTGCCCATGGTTTTGCAATGGGATATTCAACAAGCTTATATAGGTGTAATGGTCAGGTGTCCGCATACTTTTGGCCATGTAGTGTAGATGCAGTTGTAATGCAAATGATGATGCCATATAAATCAAAATAAAAAAATTACCTCATTTATCATTTATCTTCACTCAAAACAGCCATTAAGACATATTAAAACAAAAAATGACAAAATCCACAGCAACTACTTTTTTTCAGTATTAGTGTGTTTAAATTTTTCAGTATTTAGTGTGTCCACCTTTTCTCTTCATTACAGCTTCCATTCTTTTTAATGGGATTTACATTCAGTTTTTCAAAGAAACCAGCAGGGATATTTTTCATATATCCAAAGTTCATTTATAGAAGTTGGTTGCATTTCTGCTTTCTCACGATCATGTAATTCCAAACGCATTCAATGATGTTAACTCTGAGTTGATCAGTCAATTGTTTTGAGAACACCAGCAGCAGTTTTGGTGGTCTACTAGGTTTTGCACGGCTGTTAGAAGAAATTTTTTGAATTCCTGTTTTTTTTTTTCTAATTTTCACCTTTCGTTCCCCTTCCTCTGTAAGTGGATTATCTTATATAATCTCTTCAGAAAACGTATTTTAAAAAATACGGTCAAATCTATAAATCCAATGATTTGTATTCAACATTTCACATACAGTGCTAAACTAAAACCAATTATGCAGGATTAATTATTTTATCTTTGTAGTCAAACATGCAGTGGGGAAGTGATGTTAAGTACTGTTGATGTCTATGATATGCTCAGAAAAGCTTACTGTGAAAAAATGTGAAGTAATTTATCACAATAGTGATGAATGTTGCCACATAGCCCGGACCACCAGACTCTAATGTTCAGGTGCTCCAGGACACCTTTATTAATTTGTTCAGGTGTGTTAGATGAGAGTTGAAAGCAAACTCTGCAGAACAATATCACCAGGGTCAGACAACCTGTTCTAAACACCCTGCTCATTACTCTAAGTGAGAAACCTAGAGTAGCAATCAGATAACATTTACAGTGGTTTTTGGTCTTACACCGACCTGTATTTAAAGGACTATAGTGTGTCTACATTGGTAAACTGTTAACATTGAAGTGGGAGAGCTTTTGGAGTCTGTGTTGCATTATATATGTAATTATAGTTATTAACATAGTATAAGCAATGCTGTTGAGTAAGTTAATCTTCATAGATAGATAGATGGATGGATGGATGGATGAATGGATGGATGGATGGATGGATAGATAGAGGGTCTGGTCTTTCCACAGAATCCCCTTTTCTAAGAGATCGTTTCACTCTTTTTGTCCCTCTAACCAAACTCTGAGTTCTTTCCCTCCTTATCATGACCCAACTGTTATTTAAAGCCAAGATTCTGACCATAATTCTGATCAGAAGTGACCATTTGTGGAAAACGTCCCCCAGCCTGAAAGAGTACTACCAAGTTGAATTGTCTATTTGCAGTTGGGGTAGGGCAGCTCCTCCGAATGCATGGTAGAAATCTTTTCTGGCCCTACAATCTACTTAAACATTCAACTTATTTAGGAGATCAAAAGTTTGAATTATGTCTTACTTTTCATCTGTCCAAAAGAAAGGATGAGCGAGGGCCTCCTCTACTTTAGGCCTCTCCTTTACATCTTCATTGATCATCCACTCCACCAGGTCCTTTGCCACGTCATCTTCCAGATGTTCCAGCGAGTATTTTCCATCAAGAATGTTACTTTCACAACGAGCCCCTTTACCAAAAGGATGGTGTCCACGAGAGAGGATGTAATACACTAACATTCCTGCAACCTAAAACAGGTGTAACAGTTACCTGCCAGTGTCACCAGCCTTACCCATAAATAGCAATGGTAGTTTATATTCTCAGTTTTACAAAGCAAAAATCTCAGTACATTACCTGAATGTCAGAACTCCTCTTGTATGCACTGTTATCGTCCTCTTCAATGGTCTCCCTGGCTTTCCAGTACTTTGTTCCAGCAGCGCTAGTGCGCAAAGTTGTTTGTCCTAAATTCAGCCTCCGGCTTATACCAAAATCAGATAATCTCGCCTTTCCAGTTATATCTGTAAAAAAATTAAAATTATTATTACATCAAATCTCAGAACATATTGATTGAGTGGCTGGATTCAAGTGTTTTAATTTTGATAAGCAAATTAAAGAGCAATAAGAAGAACTCCTACCAATCAGAACATTCTGGGGTTTGATATCCCGATGGAGCACTTTGATATCTTCACTGTGAAGAACTCTAAGGCTGCACAGCACCTCCTTCACAATTTTCTTCAGGACAGCAAGCTGCTCACTACTGTCTTCTGGCAGATGGTCTTGGATGTATTCTTCTAGTGTGTATTCACAAAGTTGAAGAACAAGATATCCAAAAATTTTGTCTTCTGCAAAATCCACATATCGCACAATAGAAGGATTGTCGAGTTCTGGAAGCCGTAAAAACTCCTCTTCGTTTTTGAGGGCTTGATAATTGGACTTAAGCATTCGTTTGACAGCTACCTCAGTGCCATCATCCCTCAGACCAAGAAAAACCTCTGTTCCATCACTTCCTTTAGCTATCTGGAACTCTGGGTCAACACCAATTGTAAGACTCCCCAGTCTATAAACTTTACTTGCATCTATGTTAGCAAGTTTCTCCAGCTTTGGCCTCCAACGTTGGCTGTGTTGGCGCCATCTTTTTGGTAAAGTTAAATTGTCTGTAGTAGATGAAAATGGCTGCACGCTGGAATTTGACTCTTCAACTGAAGTCATGGCTGTATCTGAATCTGCCCACTCTTTTGTTTCTTGTCCCTCATCTTCTTTTGATGTCATCTCCTGCTGGGCTTCTTTCTTCTTCTTCTTTTTCTTCTTCTTCTTCTTCTTCTTTGACAGCATGTTCTCTGCTCCCTCACATAAACTATCTGAGGCACCTGAACTTTGTGGATGTTTGAGATCTGTGTCCAGTTTGTGCAGCTTGTCCTTAATGACATCATCCATCCTTATCTCTGCAGCATCAAGTACCCTATCAGGCACTGAGAGTAATCCACATGAATGAATATGTTCTGGGATGAACTCATAAAGATCAGCAAACAAGCGGTAAGTAAGAATGCTGACATCGGGTGAATACTTAGGACTAGTGAGAGGTAAAAGACCCCTGCATAAGTTTTGAAGAACAGAAACGTCAAGACCATCAGCACCAGCGTTGTGCTTTAAGGACTTCTCCATAGTCACACAAAGTATGTTTAGTATCAGCTGATTGAATACTTCTCCCTGAGGGGAGCCAGCAGGTTGTACACTTTTGATCAGAATGGGTACAATCTCGTCAAATACTTGGAGAGATATTTCTTTCATCATGAAAATTACAGCCTGCAAGGTGTTCAGTGCAATTATCTGATACTCATGAGGTATTCTGGGAAAGCGTTGGATGAACCCCTCAATATAAGTGTCAGTATTCTTGGAGTCCTTCAGCCACTTGATGCTACTTTGCCGATATTGTTCAGCACCTTGACCCACAACAGTAAAGTAATTTTCAAGTAGGGTAATATGGCTGAATGGATGCTCCTCAAGAAATTGTTCCTTAAAGAGGTTGAAAACCTCTACCTGGGTTCTCTTGGAAACTGCAATAGTCAATTCAAAAAAGAGCCTGCATTTATCAAAAACTTCACTCCCTGAAGGTAACTGATGAATAATAGTCTCTAGTTTCTTATCCATGTCTGGGTCCACTCCATGATTCCTTTCAATATAAGCACCGGCTTCTATAAGTGCTTTGACCACATCCATTCTGTTATTACCGGCAGCAAACTGTAATGGTGTAAAAAATTGTGTTTGATGACCTTCTGGATTGGCTTTCGCTGCAAGTAATCTTTTCACTATACTGAGTGGAACTCCTTGTGTAAGTGCAGCATAGTGCAGTGGTGCTAGCCCATTTGCTGAAATTTTATTAGGGTCTGCCTGCTCTCTCAGGAGAAAGTTACAAATCTCTTCATTTGCACATACAACTGCAGCCGACAGCAGGGTAAGATCATCATTCCAGAGCGCAGAAGCATAGAGTTCATTAATATCACATCCTCTGAGTAGTCTCTGCAACTTTTTTAGGTTTTTGTCAATAATGCATTGTATTATGGGGCTTGTGGTCCTTGGCGCCGCAACTGGAACTGGAAATGGTACTGAAAATTCTTTCCATTGTATTTGTATTGCCATTGACTGTTTAATGTCAGATAAACTGGAGCATCCAGCTTAGCACTTTATATTCATACGTTTCAGATTTATCAGTTCAAGATCCTGCACACTCCTACAAAAGAAATCCCTGAAAAAGAGAGGGAAAATGTAATTGAAAGATGATATCATGTGCAAAATATAAAACTTATTAGTACAGAGATGACACCATTGGGATACAAGGTCAACTTATACCTTAGCTTATGCCATATGCCATAACTTATAAGCTAATTAATAGTTAATCAGTTGAGCAGCAGTCTGGATATCTGGGGTGAATGCAGTGCTTTGATATCCCCTAGTGATTTTAGCAGTGATCAGCACTCAAACTTTTTAGGTGTTCATTATATTTAAGTGTTTTCACCTTCTCTAGTTAAGTGGAGCAGTGTCTGAGCTCATGTTTCAGTTCATTTTAAGTTAATCTTTTTAAATGTATCAGAAAGGTGTTCATTACTGCATGTTTTTCAAAATGGTACACATTGGTGCACTCTTAACACCTGGTGGACATAAGGACAAACAGCAGCTAAAAGTCTTCTCAAGAGAGGATGCTTTTATACTGTAGGCTTTGGTCTATCTTTTCTAGTGTTTTGACAATATTATTTGTTTCTAAAGCAATGAAGGTAATTAGTAATATGTTTTTGGGCATGTTACACAATGAAAAACTGTATCAGCTTAGTGGCTTCTTGGAGGCTTCAGACAGAGGAAACTTTTAAACACTTCTTGTGCTGCTGATACAATCGAAGTTGAAAACTTGAAAACACAGTCTGTTAAGACAGACAAGTTCTAGCCTGGTTCAGGTCTTACTTGGGTTTAGGTTTTGTCACTATGTTACGTTTTGTCGAACATAGAAGATTTCAATATGGTGTTTCACAAGACTCCTGCTTCCCTTTTTTACAGCCCCTAGGACTCATTTTTTGCCAACACAGTTGGCTATTGCTTTTATGCTGATGCTGAAATAATGAAAAATTGAAGGCATAAGTCTAGAAGAACATGACCTTTCTCCTGCTGTTCAGATGGTGGAGTGTATTCTGCCCAAAACAGCATTATGTCCTAACTATGACATGTAGGCTCCTTTGTTTCGCTGCATATCCTTGTGGTTAAAAAATGTTCAGCTTCCATGGAAAAGTTTTGCTGATCATGCATTGCTTTTCATGAGATAACCAATCAAAAAAATGGGCAGGTAAAACTGAACCAGAGATTTACCACACAGAAAGTGAACGTGGGGCAAAACAATAGGACAGTTTTTCTCACATTCGAAATTTAAAAATATTTCACTGGCATTTGTACCATCCTGTACACTGTTATCAATGAATTTGCTAAAAAAATCTTGAGAAATAGATGAGGAGTACCCCTTAGCCCTGTAGTAGTTCACATTAGAAATATGTTATTTTTTTGCTAGTCGTGGTGTTCAAGGCACTAGCTAACATGAGTTAATTAGAAAGAATTAAACCTGGTGGAACCACAATAAGTGCTAATTTCTTTAATCTCTCCATATTGTGTGATGTATGATGTGGTGTTGAACTTCCTGCCCATTACACTGCCCATAAATATGCGCTCAGCTTCTCCTCCGCTTTGCAAAAGTTGCAGATTCCTTGTGGTTCAGACCATTATAAAACCCTTAAAAATGTCTTTGTGTTTATTTAGCTCAGTCTCACACTGGAAATAGACTATTTAGCCAAAAATATATGAAAACCCCTTCTAATTATTTAGCTCAGGTGTTTCAGCCACACCCATTACTAACAGGTGTATAAAATTAAGCACATAGCCAAGTAATCTTTATAGACAAACATGGGCAGAAGAATGGGTCATACTGAAGTGCTCAGGATATCACCTTTGCCACAAATCTTTTTTGTGAAATTTCTGCCCTGCTAGATCTGCCAACTATTAGCACTTTTATTGTGAAATAGAAGCTTTTGGAGTAGCAGCCGCTCAGCCACGAAGTAGTAGACCACACAAACTCGAAGAGTGGGGCCATAGTGTGTAAAAATCACCTATCCTCTCTTGCATCACTCACTACACTGTTAAAAATAAAGGTACAAGATTCATTAAGGTACAAACAATGTAAATGTTCCCTCAAAGGTACAACAGTGATTCTAAGGTCTAATTGTGCACCTTAAATAAGTTTTTCCCAGGTGAAAAGTATGTATTTGTACCTTTTCATAAACTAATGTTTTAAAATAAAATAAAAAGCCTGGAGACGAGACAGGGTGTGTGGAGTCAACACAACATACAAAATATAATATCAATGGATTATGATACAGTTATGTTCCCTGACTAAAGGTACTGAGATGTACCCTTGAGGATACCACCCCAGTGACAAGAGGGGTATTGCCCCAATGACCGTTTTGTACCTTTTTTGTGAGAGTGTACAGAATTCCAAACGGCCTCTGGAAGAACAACAAAAGAACTGTGTGTAAGGAGTGTCATAAACTGGGTTTCCATAGCCGAGCAGCTAGACTCGTATTGCACTGGAAACGTGTTCTCTGGAGTAATGAATCACACTTCACTATCTGCCAGTCTGATGGATGAATGTGAGTTTGGCAGATACCAGGATAATGCTACCCACTGGAATGCATAGAGCCAACAGTAAAGTTTGTCTGAATGGGCACAGATTTCCACAGACATACTCCAAAATCTTCTGGAAAGCCTTCCCAGAAAAATGGAGGCTGTTATAGCTGCGAAAGAGAGGATAAGTCCATATTAATGCCTACGGTGTGATGGTCAGGTGTCCACATACTTTTGGCCATATAGTGAAAATCTATTGTGTATGAAATCTAACTTTTAATTGAAGTAAATTTTGTCTAAGAAAGAAAAAGCCTTATCAAAAATATATTTTTTTAATTAAACTGTCACAATTATAGGCTTCCCT